GGATCAAAATCCTGAAGACATTAAGGAATACAAAAAAAATACCAAACACAATAAACACCACTCTGTCATTGCACACCTCCCCCCCATTCCCTACTTCTTCCTCCCTGAAAATACATCAAATATACACAAAAATAAAATAAAATAATAATAATAAAAAAAAGAATTGCTGTGCATTTTTGGTTTATCTTGCCTTCTCTGTGAGGAGACATGGTACAACAATTTCTTACCATCGACAGCACTCATCATAATTTGGGCAATGAAATTTTCTCCAATGGCCCTAATGCTACAGGTGTGAACTGGTGCCTTTTGTGAAAATGCTGCCCAGGTGACTTATAAATAACACTGTGACACCTGATGTCTTAAGGGGACTGGATGAAAATCTGTATGTCCAGTGAAAGTATAAGTAGTTTTGTGGTGCTTCATAATGGAAATAGAGTACCAGTTTTAAATATATAATCACATTTATTCCAGTGAAACAAAACACACTGACATCTGTAAAATTGTGGTCTGAACAGACAGTATGAGGGGGTCACTAAAGTTAGATAGGCTTTTCTGTTTGCTATGTAGGATCTGCTTCTGGACCAAAACAACTTTAGAAAGCAAGGACTGCAAAGAGGATTATCTGATCAAAATTTTTAACCTCACCAATATACAGCTTCAGTCTGAGCTTCAAATAAGAAAAAAAAATAATAAAAAAATCTTACACTTGCTGTGTTCCACTGAAACCAATTTTATCCTAGTTCTAACTAAAACCAAAAATTATACCATCCTTATGGGCTAAAAGTTCACACCAATTTGTAGTGGACGGAGAATGGTCAAAAGCAGGATTCACCAAGGACCTTATTTCATTTGCCAATCTATCCAAATATACAGATAAAATTTAGGGGATCAGAGTATTCTCATCTGTAGTTCTGTTTGTGAAATTTCTAATGGTTTGGGTGTTGGTAGGAGAGCATCCAGGATTCTGAATATTTTTGTGTATCTTTCCTGATGTTCTTGAGGTCACATGTCTATACTAGATATTTAGAAAAATTAGTTGTGGCATTCTGGATTTAATATTTTTTCCCCATTAAAAAATTCCAGGGAGAAAAGTATTGTAGCTTATTTTCAGACTTAAAGGATGGATTCAGCAAGTCCTTAATTTGTATTTGTTCATTGGAGCTTGGAATGAAGGCACAAGGAGTATAAGGAATGTACGTATTCCCTATTTCAACAATCACAGAATCAATAAGGTTGGAAAAGACCTTCAAGATCATCTGGTCCAACCATCACCCTACTACCAATGTCACCCACTAACCCATGTCCCTAAGCACCAGGTCCAACCTTTCCTTGAACACCCCCAGGGACGATGACTGGGATTCCTGTTCCTATCTTCTTGTTGCTTATACTCTTCAAAAATTACAGCTGTTATTTGCACTTTTATAATTCTATGCAGAGAGAAAACTTCAGAAGGGCATATGAGCAGGCCTTGCACTTCCTATTGGTGGCTTAACCTGGTTCCCTACAGAATGACTTTTACTTCACTACGTCTAGATTAGATCCCCATTTCAATTGTTCTCTTTGTGGTTGATAAGATTATCTTCTAAAAATTATGGTGTATTTACCAATTGCAAGCTTTGATTTATTTTTCCATCATCAAGGTCCTATTTTGAGTTTTGCATGGGCGGTTATAGTCTGCTGAGTGCAAAACGATTGTCAGGTGTGTTACTGCCACCATGTATGCTACAGGGAAATCAGGCACTGAAAGGCAGTGTATCAATAACACATGGAGCGGTGATTCTAACTATCTACTGGGAGGGAGTTGCGTATTTCTGTAACAAGCTTGCAGCTGGCAATGACATGGTTGAGACCCTCTGGATAAGGGTTAAAGGACAAGCAAATAAAGTGGATATTGTTGTGGGAGTCTACTATAGGCCACCCTGCCAGGATGACAACACCAATGACTTACTCTTTAAGGGACTGAGATACCTCTAGATCAGCTGCCCTTGTCCTCATGGGTGACATTAGCTTGCCAGACGTTAACTGGGCATACTTCACAGCTGATACAAGCAGGAGGAGATTCCTAAAACACCTTGATGATAACATCTTGATGCAGGTACGAAGGGAGCTTACTAGGAAAGGTGCCCTCCTAGGTTTGTTACTTGTAAACAGAGAGTCTCATGGGTGAAGTGGCAATTGGTGGCTGTCTTGGTCACAATGACCATGAAGTAGTCAAGTTTAAAATCTTTGGTGACAGGAGGAAAACTGGCACCAAAACTTCAACCCTGGATATGGGGAGAGCAGACTTCAGGCTGCTCAGGGAACTAGTTAGTAAGGACCCCTGGAAAACTGCTTTTGAAGGTATTGGGGTTCATCAGTGCTGGTCACTTTTTAAGTACCACCTCTTAAGAGCACAGCAACAGGCAATTCCAAAATGCTGGAAATCAACCAGGTGAGGCAGAAGGTCAGCTTGGCTGAGCAGGGATCTTCTTCTAGAGATTAGAAAAAGAAAATGTGGAAAAAGAAATGGTGTGGCCACTGGAAGTGTGGTCAGGCAACATGGGAGTACTACAAAGATGCTATTATCCATTGTAGGAAGAAAATTCATGCACCCCAAACTGCATTAGAGTTGAAGCTGGCTAGTATTGTGGGGAACAATGTAAAGTTTTTTTGTTTTTTTTAAATATGTTAAGAGTAAAAGGAGGACTCGAGATAACATTGGTTCATTACTTGATGAGGATGGTCACCTCACAAATAAGGACATAGACAAAGTAGAGACGTTTAATACTTTCTTCACCTCTGTCTTCAACACCAGTAATGGACTCTGGATCCCCCAGAGCCCTGAGTTGGAGGACCATGACTGTGGTAATGATAAACTCCCACCAATCCCAAACTTGTGCAGGATTTGCTGCTCCAGCTGGTTGCATATGGGGCCTGATTGAATTTAATCCAGGGTACTGAAAGACCTGTCAGATGCTATCGTGATCTCTCTCTCAATTTTTCAACAGTTTTGGGAATCTGGAGAGGTCCTAGTTGACTGGAAGCTGGCAAATGTTGTTCCAATTTTCAAGAAGGGAAAGAAGGAAGACCCGTGTAATTACAGGCCTGTTGATTTAAATTCAGTGCCTGGTAAAATTATGGAGGAGATTACTTTGGGAGTTATTGAAAAACATGTAAAAGACAATGCAGTCATTGGTCACAGCCATCACGAGCTCATGAGGGGAAGGTCCTGTTTAATGAAGTTAATAACCTTTTGTGACAAGGTCACCCATCTAGTTAACCAAGGGAAGCCAATTGATGTAATCTTTTTGGATTTCAGTAAAGCTTTCGATACTGTGTCTCACAGTATCCTTCTGGACAAAATGTCCAGCACACAGCTAAACAAAAACGTGATGTGATGTGATGGATGAATATTTGCCTGATGGGTCAGCCTTATAGGGTTATAGTAAATGGGGTTACATCAGGCTGGTGGCCAGTCACTAGTGGAGTTCTGCAGGGCTCTGTTTTAGGACTTGTTCTCTTTAATGTTTTCATAAATGACTGGGATGCAGGACTTCAAAGGTATACTAAGTTTGTGGATGATGCTAAATTGCGAGGAGCTGTTGAATCCCTCAGGTGCAGAAATGCCTTGCAGAGCGATCTTGGCAAATTAGAGGGTTGGGCAATCACCAACCACATGAAGTTGAACAAGAGCAAGAGCTGGATTCTGCACCTGGGACAGAGTAATCCTGGATGTATGTACAGTCTCTTCTGTTCTGCACTGGTGTGGCCCCACCTTGAGTACTGTGTGCAGTTTTGGATGCCACAATATAAGAAGGACATAGAACTATTAGGGAGTGTCCAAAGGAGGGATACAAAGATGATGAAGGTTCTAGAGGGGAAGACACATCAGGAGTGGCTGAGGTCCTTTGGTTTGTTCAGCCAAGAGCAGAGCAGGCTGAGGGGAGGGCTCATGGTGGCCTGCAGCTCCCTCACGAGGGGAGCGGAGGGGCAGGTGCTCAGCTCTGCTCTCTGGGACAGTGACAGGACCCAAGGGAATGGCATGGAGCTGTCACAGAGGAGGGTCAGGATGAATCTTAGGAAAAGGTTCTTCACTGGGAGGGTGGTTGGGTACTGAAACAGTCTCCCCAGGAATGTGGTCACAGCAGAAAGCATGCTGGAATTCAAGAACACTCTCAGGACAGTGCTCTCAGACATAGGGTTTAATTTTTGGGTGATATTGTGTGGATCCCTGTGTTGGACCTTATGATCTTTGTGGGTTCCTTCCAACTCAGGATATTCTATGATTCTGTGATTTCTGTAATGCGTCATTTGTTATGGATTTGGGTTTATCAGATTGCTCTGACAATGGTCAGGAATGGGAATAAGGGAAAAACAGCAAAACCTATTGCTTCGTTTGAGAAAGGTGATTCTGTTCTTAATTCCTACTGTAATTGAAGGGATGTTCCTTCAGGTGTTTTGAGGTTTTAAATAACTTTTGTTATTTTTCAAGTCAAAATGAGGCAGCCCTTTGGTTTCATTTTAGATTTCTTAACTCTTTTTTTTTTTTTCCTCCATAGCAGATGTTAAATGCCTTTATTGGTGAATCCTACCATCATTTCAGCAGCAGTGAGGCAGAATAATTTCAAAGATATGTCAGTATACAGCTACAAAATGTAAACCTGTTATCTATAAATGTGCTATCCTTCTACTTAGAAATGTTGTCAGTATGTTTAAGGGGTTAAGGTTTGCCACTTAGATGCCAAAGATAATCATGTCTCCAACAAACTTTGTAATTCTTTGTTTAATAATCTTAGCTGAAGGGAAGTCTTTTTTTCTCTGACACACCAAGGTGACAGTGCTAGTATTACACTTTCAGAAATGTTTGTAATAATGGACATAGGCTTGTGGTGTTTATATAAGAACGTGGGGAGGAGATACTACAGTAAAGAACAGTGCAGTGAAAAATCCCAGGTGGTTCTACAGTGGCACTTCATCCTACAAAGACTTCTTGTGTAACCTTATTTAACTTTTTGTTTCAGGAACAAGAAGATCCCAATAAGCTTGCCACCAGCTGGCCAGACTACTACATTGACCGCATCAATTCCATGGCAGCAGTAAGTTACCTCTTCTGCACAGCAGGGAAGGTTTCCTATCATAGAGATCTGTTTTTGTTTTTTTTTTTTAGGAAGAAAACCCAAAAGAAGGATGTTAGTCCAAGTGCATGACTTGTTTGAAACAGGACTTTTGAAAGAATAACATATGTCTTAAGAAAGGGCCCTGCTTTAGCAGAAGAAAAGACTAGATAACACCAGGCATTTTCCAGTTTTTACTTCAATGATAGAGGGTTTTAAATGTATTTCTACCTAATCTAAAAAATAACACTGGGATTAATAGTTTAGTAAAAAAAAATAAATAAAAAGTAGTTCTTCACATAAGGTAATAGCCGCTTATATAAAAGCAGGTAAACAGAGAAACGTAAGTCTGTAACACCTCAGACATCAGATACAAGGCAGGTTATTTGTGGTAAACTGTCTTTAACTGTCCTTGTTCAATAGCTGAGGAAGGTGTGCCTTCCTCTGAAGCATGCTGTAGATCTGGCCACCAGCACAAGTAGAACACCTGCACATAGTATTCACTGATCTCCTGTGACATGGTAGACCTTACATTTTGGAATTTGATCTTGTTACTAATTTTATAGTCAATTTTTGCCTCCAGTTATTTATGTGCAGTGTCTACTCAGCTTTTTTTTTTTTTTTTTGCATGTGTGCGGTGGTGGATAGAATTCATTTCCTAGCATCCAAGGTAGCACACTTTGCTTGTTTGCTTACACTTTTATGTTTGATTTCTGAAGGCTTCTCTGCACCTTTTCCGTCATGGTTATGAGGCATAAAATAATTTCATAAAAAAAAATGCCTTAATGGATACTTTATATGTCAATACTGATATATTTCTTGTAGTGAAATATGTCTTGCTCAGTAAAAAAAAAAAAAAAAGAAGACTTTACAAGCCACTATAACCCATTGTAATAGGATAAAATAAAAGCTGCTTTCTACTCTGAGTCATGAATAACCAAAATGATCACCTTCCTTCACGCCAGATTTTTTGGCGGCAGAGTAATGGAACAGAAAGACTATAGGCTGGTTTTGAAAAAAAAGAGGTTGAGATTTTGTGCTGGCATGGCATTGTGCTTTGATTTCCTGATTGAACAAATTCACTCTACAAGGGCTATTAAGGAAAAAATAGGTATGAAACCTTGCAAAGTCACTGAGCCAAATACTTCTGGTAGGATTTGATCCAAGGCCTTTTGAATCTACTGAGTTTTTTCCATTGATTTCAGTGGCTTTTGGACTAGTCTTTAAATGATCTTGATGTAAATCTGGAGACAGTATATGTATGTCACTGTTGCAAAACTGGAGCACTTCCATGGAATGAGACTATATTTTGGCCCATGTTTCTAATTTTAAACACATTTTAAGAGCACCAATAAACACTAGCCCTGGTAACATTGTTTGCATGGCTCAGCATTGAATGACTGATAACCTTTTACTTGGCTTCAAGCCTCGTAATTTACTCTTATATTTGAAGTATTAAGAAGATACAGTGGGGTTAAACCCCTGCATCTGATTTTCCACTTAATTGCTTCAGTTTTAGGCAGGTGAAACTTAGTTGACTTGATTTCACTGGAATCGTATCAGCGGAAAACTGGAGTAACAGAGCTGAGAACCAGCTCCAACACGCTTTAAAAGACATGTTCTCTTCATTATTATTTAGACCTCTGAGATTCTGAACTTCCAAATGGTTATTTTGGGTCCCTTATAATTTCAGTCCTAAATTTAGTGATGGAGGGGGTTTTTTTTGTAATTTTTTTTAACTTCATCCAAATACAGTTGGCTAAGAAGTGGTGAAAGAAAAGCATGTTTCATGTTGCTTCCTGACACTGTCTAGTCTATTTCAGTTTGCGTCTCCTGGGCACTATCAGGTATTGCTGTATTTTAATTAGAAATATGGCAAGAAGTATTAGAGTTGAAATGGTAGCAATGATCACAGAAGTGTTAGTTTAAAATGCTTTAAAAAATAAAAAGTTTTTTAAAAATAAAATTTAATCTTTGCATCTTCTGTGAAGTAAGTACATAAGAATCATTTTACATGCAGCTTTCACGTCTTTTTTGATATAATTTTCTTTAAATATGAGGTTCTGTTCTAAATACTAGCTTGGCAAAATAGTTCTTCCTACCCGCTGATAAAATGAAAATGGCATCCCATGGATATCATTAGGTATCTTTTTGTGGATTTCAGGAGGCCAAGGCCCCTGCACTCAGGGATCATTTTCTCAGAAGATCTGCTGCAGCGTTACCAATCATATCTGTCCCTCATAGATTATGCTTGAGAGCAATGTGGTGATTCCTGACATGTTTGACATTCCCTACTTGTAACCTTAGACCACTATGTTGGGAAGCACTTTCACAGTAGTTCAAAAAGCCATGCATTTTAGGCACAAGTCTGTTCCCACAATTGTTTCTGTTACCGTGACTTTTAAAATGTTAGTAGTTTTTAATCCTAATTCTCATGAGAGTGTATAACAGTAAAACCGGATCTCTTTACTAATTCGTAGTACACAATTCCTGTGGAGGGGAATGTCCCATCCTTCAGGACTGGGAGGAAAGTCTCAAGAAGATCCTTGGTAGAATGTCTTCTAGACCCACCCCTAAGAGAAAGGCATGGTTGCTAATGATATCTAAGTTAGAAAGAGGAGCCTCCAAATTTGCCCAGTCCTCTAATGTCAACATGCTGATGTTGACATCATGATGTCAATAAGGCTGGTGACTGCAGGCAGGTTGCAGGCCCACAGTCAGAGATCGTTTCCATTATCAAGGTCATTGCTATCTTCTGCTGATTTATCAACAGACAGAACTTTTCTTAAAAATGCAGCAGCTGCCCTGTTTATATCACAAGAAACTTCCCTGTGCTCCTCGCCCCCATTACTCCATGATACTACCTGCTTGGCAGCACAAATAAACACAGCCTTCATTTTATTGGAAAGGAAAAGTTCTGACAGCACAGCAGTGCGTTGATGAGCTTGGCTGTACCTGCATTTCCAGAGAGAGATTTTAATGTGAACAGTGTTTTTCTGGAGAGATTGCTCAGATGAGAGTATGAGATGGGTGGATGCCCATTCACCAGAATTTAGCAAGAGGACGGTAACTCTTCTCTTCTGGGTTAGGTGACATCTGTGTTACTTCGAAATTATTTGCCTGAAAGATTTTTTTGTTTGTTTGTTTTTGTAATACATCTATTTGTAGCTTATTCATAGTTTATGATTTGTAGTTTGCTCTCTTAGTTTGGCCTCAATATAGCTAGAGATGTGGTGCACCTTGAATTTCAACTGACCTCTTTTCTTTAAAGAAATGTTTTAAAATAGTGTTGTCCAGATATGTCATAAGAGGCATGCAATACAATAATTTATTATTAAACTTTAATTTCACTTCTATTTGTTTGGAAATTATTTCAGTAGTGATAATAGTTATGATTTAGGTAAGACCTAAAGAAAGAACTTGGTCTATAGTGATAAGTTGGAATATCTAGGTTGCTTTTTCACTACTTACTCTGTTTGCTTCATTTTTCTTTTCATTTGTGTGAGATCAGCATGAAACTAGGTCAATCATATAGTTCCTTTCTGCAGTTAGTTGATATATTTATTATTATTATTGGTGCCTCTTTCCTAATGTGCTGTCATTATGGTGGTCTATTTGCTTTCCCGGTAGTTTAGGGGAATGATTAGCTATTAGAATAAGGTGTGAGAATTTACTTGATGCTTTGAATAAAACTAAGATTTTCAAAAGCAATTTCTTGGACTACCTGAAGTTTTACATGTACAGTTCTGTGTGAATGATTTTTTCACATATACTTTTTTTTTTTTGACTTGGCAAATCAGATAGCTAGATGTCATGCTTTCCTGGGTGATGCCCTTAATCTGGAAAATTTAAAATATGCAAAATATGCTTATGAAACAGATTCATATGTATACTGCCTTTTAGGGACCAGATGAGGACCTGGCACTGTTTTGCTTGCTATTCCTTGGGTGAAACAGTTTTGGTTAACTGACAGTAGCTAGCTGCATCCTCAGCCCAGCAGATGTTAGTCCTAGAGTACAGTTTGTAGTTCAGGGAAGCAGTGCATCAGCCAGCCACATTAATGAAATCCAGCCTCAAATAACGACAGTTCCCTCCCCTCTGTCTCCCAGGGACAGTTGTGTTTTCTATAACTCTTGCCGAGAAAGTTATTTTATAATGTAAATGCATGACCGACGAGGCTGTCTTTAGAGAGGGCATGAGGATTTGAGTTCCTGGCCATGCACAGGGGTGAGAAATGAAGGGCTCTTGGCTGCCTGCAGCTTTAGAAAAGGGGTTTTCTATAATCGCCCTCAGTTGTAAAGGCAGGATTATTTGTATTTGTTTCATTTGGAAGTGGGCCTTTTTCACTCTCAACGAAATACTGTTGAGCACCTTCCTGCCATCCATTCGCTTCCCCCCCACAATGGCTCAGAGCAGAAATTAAGCTGTTGTAGGAGTGGGAGCCTTTCAAAGAAGCATTTATGGGCCAAGGGAAAGGTGACCAGATGGGCCGTCACCCAAGAAAATACAAATCAAACCCCAAATCACACCCCAGGATTCTGCCATTGAGATTCTATAATGCCTGTTCAGGATTTCTGTTTATTTTTCAAAGAGGGGAATCATATATGGCTTGGCTTAAGCATTTCAATTTATGTTTCTGGCTGTCGGGGGATGCTGGCAAAAGATAAAACATCATCAGCTCATTTTCCATCAGTAGCGCTCTGTCATTCCATTAGGGCAGGAAATAGCTCGCTCTGTTACTGAGTGAATTTGACTTTAGCGAGGATCAGAGAGAGGACCCCTAGAGTTAAACACATCTTCTTATGCCAGCTGGTCAGCATAAGACAGCAACGGCCCGTAGCCAAATGACCACCCTCAGGATCTGACATGTGTTGGCACCACGGGGTTTGCAAAAGCAAGCAACATGGGAGCATTTCCAAGGGAAGTGAGGTGGTGGGGTGGGAGGGTGGGAGAGTTAAAGGAAGTTCCAGTGAGAGGAAGGTTTCCTTTTCAGCATGCTAAATACTTAAATAAAGACTTCTATATTTCACAGTAGTGGGCCATAATTTTAGGTACTCAGATTCCACCACAGAGAGGTATAATATCTGACCCTTGATAGATAACACTGGTTTAATTGGGGTATTCATTTGGGAGGCGGTTCAGAACTGCTTTCCAGATCCCACTGAGCGATATCCCCCAGAACTCCTTCCAATAAGAAAAGCTTTTATCATCTCTGTTGTACAATTAAAGAGGCTAAGAAGACATTACTATAGGCTTCGAATTTCCAGCATTGTGTCTTGACTGTTTATGAAGCCGCTCATTGAAGTTGTGAGCCCGAATGGTACATGGGTGGGTGCTGAAGAGTCTTGCTTCATATCGCAAGGTTCTGGTGGTGCTAAGTGTAGATCTGAAGCCCTGATTTCCTGCTATACCGCTTTTTTCTTAATGGCTTTGTCTGATTTTCAGAACCTTGTATTTTGTGTGTATTTCCCTCATCACCTCTCACCCTAATTTACCGTGACCCACAGAATCTTCAATTCCTGCAAGCTGCATACCAGGGAGAAAAATGACAGAGGTAGCTCCCAATAGGAAGAAACATGAAAATATAGGCTCTATTTTCTGCATGCTTCAGTTTACATGTTAAAACACAGGGACAAGGATTTTATGATGCTCTCGCTTTTTGTAGTAAATGTTTCCAATTAGCAAGGACAAAGTGCATAGAGAAAATTAATATCTTAAACCAGGTTGAAAAAAAAGGATAAAGGAAGTCAAACTTTTGGGTACACAAACTATAATTCAGGGTACTTGTAGGCTGTCTAGTCAACTGAAGAAAAAGCTTTTCTGCTTTGAAACCTGACACAGAAGTCTGTTGTCTTTTCTTTTTCTTCTTTTTCTTTTTTTTATATATATATATAGTGTGTATATATATATATATATATATTTTTTTTTTTTATTTTTTTTTAACTCCAAATCCCTCCAGCCAAGTCAGTCTAATAAGTCAGTCTACAAACTTTGCCTCATATATCCATAGATCACCACAGTGGATCACTGTTCTAAATTAGGTAGTTTTCTGAGGGCATCCTGGCAAGTATGATTTTTTGGGGGTAATGTGAGATCCCTAGTTTTAGGCAGTGTGGCAAGGCTCTATGCTGCTGCCAGTCCACATGAGCAGCCTCATCTGGATTGAGTTTTGTAGCTGAGGCACTGCTTTCCTGGTGAGAGGTCGGCAGGCACCTCTCCGTGGGTTGATAGGATAGTTGTTTTTCATAATTCCTGGCCTGTCTCTTAGCTTCCAGGCAGCTCGGGCTTTTCTGATTGTCATCTCCTTTTCTGAACAGATGCAGACGCTGTATGCTTTCGATGAAGAAGAAACAGAAATGAAAAATAAAATAGTTGAAGACTTGAAGACAGCTCTGCGGACTCAGCCCATGAGGTAATGTTGTTCATCTTTCATCACAATTCACTGCCTCCCAATGGTCAGATGGGGCACAAGAAGGAGTGGCAAGGACAGAAACCTCTTTGTCTCACCTCACACAAGCGTTCTCTGATAGTTCATACAATCCACAGAGAGCCCTACAGTTCCTGTTCTGAACCTGTCTAGCTGGAAGGGCACAGTAATGCTGAAGCATATAGCTTCAGGAAAATAAAAGACAAATTCTGTTCTGAAAAACATATGGCAGATCTGTGCAAACAGGTAAGGACTGTGAAGATCAAACTTACAGACTTCATAGACCCCTGAACATCCTATGTGATTTAACTCATGATGGGCAAGATCTCAGCCTCTACTATGAATTTTGAATTCAAGCTTCCTATCATTAGTAATGTGAACTTTTTTGGCACAAAGCAGCTATCTGACTTTACCTGGTTTGGCATTCTTCCTGCTCTGTGTGTAACCGTGGCATGCAGAAATGTTACGAGTCTTTGTTGTGTACAGTGTGTTTGAAGGTAAGGTCATCTTTGTTTTTCTGGGAACAATGCTCTGAGCAATTGCAAACTAACTAGCATAGAAATCTTTTGCATTTAACACTTAGAAGGACATTGTGCTGAAGCAATAACCATAGTTGATACAATTTGGGGAAATATTCAGTTGATACAATTTGGGGAAGTATTCAGAAACTTGAACAAAAAGTTTCTGAATGTCTTTGTATTAAGCCCAAAATAAACCAAATGTGCTTACATCCACACTATGCTGAAGTCGTAGTTTCAGAGGCCTTCAGCAATGTACAATCACACAGATCTTCTGGAATTTAAAAATTAAAAAAAAAAAAAAAAAAGTAAACAAAACAAATAAATAAAAAGAAGAGTAGACCACAGAAAATAATCACAAGAGAATTTGCACTGTAGTTAGACTGAGTGTTGGACTCGATGATCTTGAGGTCTCTTCCAACCTAGAAATTCTGTGATTCTGTGAAGTGAAAATATTTTTATGAGTCCTTGCAGAGATAAGTGCTGATTATGTGCATCTCTTCTTTCCATGATGTTTAATGTTTCTTCTGGGCAGGAACAAAAGAAAAGCCCTTTAAGAAAGCACTTGGAGAAGGAGTCCTCCCTGACAAGCATCCTTGCTTCATGCAGTTGAGCCTGCTCCTCTGTTGTACAAAGCTAGATGTGAAGGAGACTGAGGGAGCTCTAGGAATTTAAAGTGCTAGAACATTGCCTCTCTGCAGCCAGCAAGCAAATACAGAGAGGCCATCATTATGGTCTCTTTCTTCACGCGTGAATGACAAGATACTGAGTGATTACTAAGAGATAAGTGAATAAGGAAGACAAAAGGTAGGAGGAAGTCTCCAGCACTATGGAACTTGTGCTGAGATTCAGTTGCAAACACACCTCGGGTGTTGTAGCCCTTTGTGGTGGGAGATTTGTAGCTGCAGCTATATTGCAGGGGGCAACATCTTTTCTTTGGGCTCACATATGTAAATGCAGTCTCTTAGCTAAGTTACTTCATTATCAGCAGAGCTTCTAGCATTGACTGCATGGAGCTTCTCAGCTCACAGCAAGTGCAAGGTTGAGCACATCACCTTAAACCTTGGTGGTTTACCTCCTATTTTACTGGGCTGTAAAAGAGCACAGACAGATTCTGAAGCATAGGGATTCATCAGGCTTTGGTAATTTTAGTCATGTGGGTACAGTAACTGCTTTTAACATGGAACTGGAGAAACAGTAGCCTGTGCTGAGAAAGAGTCCAAGAGAACAAGTGACAGTTTGATCCTATCACTATTGAAAATGGTAAAAGGCAGCTTGACTTAATGATAAAATGGAAGCTAAAGACAACAGTCACGCTCCAAATTTACAGGGATTTTTAACCAAAGACCTGTACCACTGAGACATTATGTAGCAACTCTGTTACATTAATTTGGAACTGGTGTGATGTTTCCTCTGAAAGTGATAGCTTTCTCATATCATTGAGCATATCCAGAGCAGCCAGGCATCTCTGTTCTGTCTAGCTGAAGTACTTTGGTGGCCACCATTTGGTAGTTGTACTCTGACATTTTGAGTAGGATAGCTCAGCCTCCTTTCTGAGAGCAAGGCAAAAGAGAAGAGAAAGAAATGTCTTTTGCTCAAAATCTTGCAAGGTTTTCCAGACCAGACCTATATTGCTTCTGCTGGGTCCCCTTGACAACAGGCTGTTGCTTCATCTGTTTATAATAACCCTAACAAGCTTCAGTACAAGCATCTATGAGCTGCCCTATAAAGTGTTCTCTTCTAAATCGCTGGCGATGGTTATGGGGCTTTTTTTTAAAAATAGTTAAGCCAAGCCAAATTTTGAGTTAAGTCCTATGTCTCAACTAATTTCCAGCGACTCAATTCGTTAGCTGCCAAATGGGCTGCGTGCCAATGCCTGATCAACAAGCCAATTTCTTCTTGATGGAAAGGTTGCAGTAGAGAGGCCCTCAGCTCCATCAAATCCCTCTCATAAGCAGTACTATACCCCAGCCTTCAAAATACTAGTCTTTCTAGTTGAATTTGGACATCTAATCCTGTTTTCCGTGCCACTTCTGTTGATCAGAGCTCTGAAGAAAATAGAGACCTAAATTCACACAGGATAGATTGTCTGGAATCCGTTGATGGTGGGTAGGGTACAGAGGATCTCTGACAGTTCACCAACAGGGTCCTCTGCTTGAATTCTCCAATCTAGAGGACACAAAATAATAAAAAAGCATGTGTGGCTCTAGGTTTCATTTTACTGTAGAACTGCATCTCTTCTAGTGTTAAACACAGAGTAATGGCACTAATCTGTGCCTGTATTCCAGTCTAGTAGTTCTAACCCCAACAAAAACTGAAGCAGATCTTCCTAAACTCAAGTTCCTTTTCCCCTTAGAGAAAAGGTGGCAGAAGCATCCTTGGGCAGCTAGTTGGCTCACTCTGAGAAAATCCATTTTGTTCTGGTATTTAGGAGCTGCCCTGAAATAATAAAGCCAGGTTATGTCCCAGCATGCAGGAACAACCCTAGCCTTAGAGAACAAAACCCCCACATCTGCATCTTGTAAGGAAACAGATTTTCTTTTAGGTTTCTAAGAACTTATGACTATAAACAAGTGTGATGACAAACTGTTGGACAGAAGCAGGAGAGAAGAGCTTTTTTTTCCTCCCCCCCTTTTTTTTTAATGCCCAAAAATGGAGGTTCAGAAGTGCAGCAGAAGTAAAAACTTACAAAGGTCTGGAAAAAAATAACTTTTTGGACTCACAAAAGAATACCTCCTTTAGTCTGAATCATCAGCACTAACTCCCTTTTCTGTCTGCTTTTCTCCTTCTGTTCAACTCAGATTTACCTCTTGTTATTTTTGCTTGATTTAGTCATGTTGCATTCCAGTTCATACTGGAGATGAACATTTATGTTTCTAGCAAGCAAAACCCATTTTGATGAATTTTTCAGCAGTCCAGTGGTTGTCAGGATTATGTGTGTCCCCTGATTCTTTAGGGAAGTGCAACCTTGGCTGTTAGCTGGGTGGGAACATCCTGCCTTCTGCACACCCACAGCATATGATCTTTCTGTCTTTCCTGCACTGGATCAAGCCTCACAGGGAAGTTTTCCCCCACGGCACTTGGAATCCATCAGTGGGTCATTACCTCTTAGGCTTCATCTGTATTTGGATGAAGGGTTTGTTATTAGAGCTAGCTAACATGTTCTGATCAACACTCTCTAAAACTTGAAAGACTAAAAGGTGCTGTGCCTTTTAATGTGTGCTAAACTGGTCAAGTGAGAGTCTGAGGTGAGGTTAGGCTTTAATATGCTTGTTTAGCACCTATTAAAACACACCCTACTTTATTTACACTTGAGTTTTTAAGTATGTTAGCCAGAATGCATTGGCAAATACGCTTAACTTTACACCTTTCAGTCTAGAACAAAACCTTACTTTGCAGCACACAAGGCTTATAAGATGGCAGTTAGTTATGGCATGCATATATAGTGGGGAAGAAGGTTGTTTATTTGCATAAATTGGGTTTGCCTTTGCACATGTGAGTGCATACACACACATCTGTGTTTACAGGCATACAGATACACAAACATCAAACAGCATGAAGATTATGGTGCTCAGCTTGTCAGCTGAACTCCCACTTCTTTTTCTTTTTTGTACAGACATTTACACACATACTTCCCTGGTCACATCAAGCAGGTCCTAATACTGAGACTGTTTGTCCAGAAATAACTATCACCATTTCTCCTTTTATCTCCCTCCTGCATGATTTCTGTCTTTTCCGGAGAATAGGGGACTAAGTGTTTTGGAAGGAAGGTGAAAATCATCATTAGATTCCTGCTTCTGATGTCAGCTGAAATGGGAAGGTACTTGATTTTGCTTCCTATTGAGTAATGCAGCTTACTGTTTGCTCTTTGGACTAGGAAGAGCACAGGAAAATCCCAACATTGTTTTAAATTATGTCATTAATCAAAGTCCGTGACACACACCACTTTCCTGCGCATGCCTTCTTTTTGGAATGACCTCATCCAGACAGTCCTAGAAAAAATTGCTCTGCCAACGAATTTAGTAAGGGATTGTACTTAATTGGTACAATGTGATTTTTGTGCATTTCACATTTTTTTCATCTGTTCATAAGAGCAGGCCAAGATGCATAAAGGTTGTAGTATCTTGTATGTTTGTCATAAGAGCAGGTGTTCCATCTGAAAGTAGGTTTTAGGGACCCTTTGTTCAGCTGCTTCTTAAGGATGCCGATAGAGCTCCATGCCTTGAGAAAGGTATCCATCTTATGCCTTCCTGCAGCCATGAACTGAGGAGAACAGTGAAACATGTGCATTATTTTTTTATTTTTATTTTTTCCTTTGTGTGTGTGTGCACAAAGGGATTTAGAAGGAATAGCTAAGGTGTAGGGTGGATTCACAGAGCTGAACCTTGGAGGTAAAGAGGAGCAAGGAGAATTTAAACTAGTCCTCCCATAGTACAGGCAAAGATCCACACAGCTTTTTAGTCCCAGGTTTAAAGAAATGTTCTAAAGGCATCGGCTTTGCATTGTTTGATAACAAATCGAGGTCGTTCTTATTTGGGTTCCCAGGAAATCCTTAGCAACTCCTTTAGCCATGAATGTGCTTATTCCAGTTTTTCTTTGCATTCTAGCAGCATTACAGAAAGTGAGCTAACTTTTAATCTTTCTATAACCAGTTTAAGTAACAAACTGCTTGAAGTGACTTACTAAATTCCTGTTGCACAATGTGTGATCCCGCTATCTAGCCTAGAGGCAGAGGGGCTTATCCTCCTGTGATTTGTTAGGGTACACAAGATGATGCATCCAAAGAATGTGCAGTCAGACCTGTGTGAAACTTGGCAGGCCATCTTAGAAGGGTTCAACTAAACCTTGTTTCCATTTTTGGTGTGCATGTGTTCCTGTGTGTGCTTGCCCTTATTCTGATATTCACTTTGAAATTCAGTTTTGAACAAAATCCAAACCTCAGACTGAAGCTTTGTTGAAAGCACCAGGCTTTGCCATGTTTCTGGTCAAATTGCTGGCCCAAATAAGCTGAAAGTTGGCAAATCCATCAGCATAATGAGCATAGCTTTCAGGTAGGCCCTGAAAATTCCTGTGTGGTGTGAGGTGTAACCACATGTGTCAAGTCCATATTATCCAGGAGATATATGTCTAAGGTTTGTCTTGCCGGTGCAGAGACATTAACAGAGATCACTGAAATGTTGGGAGTCTTTCCATATGAAATTTCCCACCTGATGGATATTAGGAACAGCATCTCACTTATTAATAGATAAGAGAAAGACAGCACGTTAGGGAATATCCAACAGGGAGAAAGAGGGGCTGGGTAAAAGCTCCAAGATACAGACTTAATAATACAGGCATAAGAATACTTAGGTATTCTTAATTTGTTATACATGTGACAATTGTTAACAATCTTTTCATTTCTTTGAGATAACCATCTACATTATGCTGTTTAGGACATGGTCATGGTCATACTGTTCTTGATTACATTTTGGTAGATTCAAATTTAATTCACATGGGTTTGTATTCAGGCGTTCTAAAAAAACCTGCATCTACCTGAATGACCTGCTGGAGGAGGCAGGAGGTAAACAGAGCTATCCTGAGAAATGATTTGCAGCCCATTTCATATCTTTGCATCCCCATTTTTAATTCAGGAAGCTCAAAATGAAACATTGCTAGAATTATTAGTTTGAACAGATTTGTATAACCCCATCAGTTTCTGTTGACTTGTCTAGCAGGCTGTCTGTATGGTCTAGTTTGAATTTCCTCTGTATTATTTCCATACTGTTTCCACGATCTTAATCTGAAGAAAGGCAAATTTTATACTAGAATATGGTAGAAAAAGAACTCCAGTGATCTCAGTAGTCTAAATACACTTCTTCCAGTGTAGGCTTAGTCATTTGACATTAGGTAATTGAATAATTCTATATTTCCGTAATTTATGGTGTTATTACAATACATATTGCTACTACAGGTTGACAGAGGCCCTACTGCATCCTTAATATAGCTCCTCAAACCAAAAGCAAGCAAATAACAACAAAAAAACACCAATGCAGCCAAGGCTATTGTAAGAGACTTCAGAAAACATGTGCCTCTTACATATATTATGTTTCTTTGCATATGTAATGGGATCAGAGTGTGGAGTCTGGACTTGGGTCAGTACAGCTGATAGTTACAGTGGAACTGTGCTTTTTTTTTTTCTGTCTTTCTCTCTCTCTCTCTTTTTTTTTTTTTCTTTTTTTCCCCTTGAATACCTGGGAATTACCCTGTGATCTTTAAGCTAGCCAGCTTTTGCAGATGCTGGGATCACAGGGTTGAGTATCTTTTGAATAAATAAATTACCTTTGTACTGTTTTTGTTATTTTCCCTACCTGCTTTTTCAGGTTTGTGACCAGGTTCATTGAGCTGGATGGCCTGAGCTGTTTGCTGAACTTCCTGAAGAGCATGGACTATGAGACCTCAGAGAGCCGTATACACACATCCGTTATAGGGTGTATCAAGGCACTGATGAACAACTCCCAAGGACGGGCTCATGTCCTGGCTCATCCAGAGAGTATCAACATCATCTCCCAAAGCTTACGGACTGAGAACATCAAGACCAAGATTGCTGTGCTAGAGATCCTAGGGGCTGTCTGCTTGGTACCAGATGGTCACAAGAAAGTCTTGCAAGCCATGCTTCACTATCAAGTCTATGCTGCAGAAAGGACAAGATTCCAGGTATGGGGAGGATGCTTGGACAGGAATAGCCATCTCTGCCAAGGAGTGATTTTTACAGTGCACATATTGCAATATTGCTAAGCAGTCAAAAGGCAATATTTCTCATTGTGTTTTAGGAAAAACACTTCAAATAGATTATCTTTTTTTTTATTATTTTTTTCTCAAGACCTGATTGCTTGTCATTAATGCTGATTTATAATCTCCTGTATTTTACGTTAGAATGGGGAGTTGCTAACTTAAATGAAAGCTGTTAATCTGTTCATACTCTAACCTGATGTCATTGGGGTGCTAATGATTTATTTTTTCCTGGAAGCTGAAGACACAGAATTCCAGGAGCCTCTGTCCTGATTTTAAGTTTGTTTAGTAACACAAGAGGTGTAAATTAAATAATGGCAACAGTGGATTAAATAATGAACATTGGAGCATTTAAATCATCACTTAACAATCAGTTACAAATCATCACCACCTATCAAATGCTGCCTCATATATCTCCTATTCACAGAATAGAAGGGAAACTTCCTGAATCTCAGAAACCTTGGTAGGTCACTATATTATTGACAGGCTTTTATTGTGGATACTGCTGGCTGTTCCTCTTCCTAGTGAACTGAGCACCTTTACAAAAAGATGCAAAAGAATCTGTTGCTGTGTATGAACCTTTAGTTCCTAAACTTTGGGGTAGCCTCACCCATTTGCTACTCTTTCTTAGGTCAAATGGTAAGGGTGGTGTTCGACCAATAGGCCCTGGATCCTGGTCTGTGTCAGCCATTACCTTCTACCACAGTACCTTTTGGTAGATTTCGGGGTACAATGAACTCACAAATGTAAAAGTAAATGGAGAACAATCTGTGCTCATGAACAGTAGCTGCCAATGTTTGTCATTAAGACTGAACATACCTGATTTAGCAGGAGTTTACAAAATTGTTTACAAACAATTGTATCTTGAAGCTGGAATGCTTTTTTCCACTACACTCAGTGATAGCTTGAGTTTTAACAGTTTTTCTCCTAATTTTGAGGAGGTAAGCATTCATCCAAAGACCTCCTCCATTTGCCTTCAGTCATTTTCTTCTAATAGAGGGACAGTGGCGATATTCAGAACACTGATTGAACAGATGTGGTCATGGTCTTCCTTAGATTTTAGTGGAAGGTTTTCTGATACTCTAGGATTTGTGAGTTAAGAGAGTGCTGTATCTTTTTGCCTCTTTTCATTCAAGTGTGTGGCTTCGTCGTCCCACACCTGTATCTCAGAATCGTCTTGCAGCTTATTATCAAGAAAGCAGCATCCATTGTAACTCATTGAACCTATAGGAGGCCAACTTAAGGAAAGGATGAACTGACTGCTTATCCTATGCCTTTCTGTAAACTTCAAAGACATAATGTACAATGAAGTTGTAGACGAGCTAGTGAAAGCCTGTTTTTTCTTCATCCTAGTCCTGAATGTAAGCTTTGTAAACTAGACTTTGCAAATACCAGAAGAGCTCCTTCAGATTTTAAATCAAACTCTTTAGGGAGGTATTTCCTGTATCTTGAGCAATTAGCAGTACCAATCAGTATATTGAAGTGTCCAAACAGCTTAGAGCTTGCCGCTTTAGGTTAACTTTAACTGGCCACACCTAATCACTGTTATGTTGAAAGTGATCTCCCACAACTGGGGATCTGGCAGGACAGGAAAATGAGATATTTTTTTTAATATATATTTTTTTCTGTGAAAAGTAATTAAAAAAAGAACTAAACTTCAGGAATGGGAGAAATATATTTGGAATGTGCAGAGTAGGAGCGAATTCCTTTGGCTCTATGTTCATTATTGAAGACTGATCCTAATGTGAGAAGTTAAAAAAAAAAAAAAAAGAAAAGAAAAGAAAATTGGGAACTGTAAAGGGACAGCTAGATGTAGTTCTATAAGACAATGGCCTAATTAAGGACAAAATACCCAAGAGGAGAATAATCTCAGACTCTCAGATTTGGAAATCAAAAAGTTCTTGTTAAGTAAAAAAGCACAGGGCCTTCTGGAAGCTTTACTGAGCTTACTTTTGTTGGAATATCCAATAAATAACTTAGATGTAATACTGACCTCTGACAACATCAATGTAATTGGTCCTCTTCCTTAAGTTACCCTCCTTGCAACAGTGGTTGGAAATATTCTTCATTCCTATCAACCTTTTCACTGTCAGTTGATTAATCCTCATCTGTGAAAGCTGGCACTTTATTTGTATACTATGTGTTTGGATTATTTTCCACTCTTGCGGATAGTAGTAAATCTTAATGTTCCATTCTCTTCATATCAACTGTGATGACCGGCAGTGCGTATATTGAGAAATCAAGACGTAAACGTGTGAAACACGAAACTGCTTTTCCCCAGTACAATTTGTCTTCTCTCTCTCTCTCCCTTCCTTCCTCTTTATTCCCTTCCTTGTTTCCTTCCTTCCTTCCTTATTTCCTTCCTACCTTTTCATAAGGATGTCATGGTGCTGAGTAAAAATTGTGGGTTGTATCGTTCTAGTTCCACTCTGTTTTGTAAGAATGAGGAAATGATGTTCAGAACTATTTACTGGCAGCCATCTAAAACATGACCTTGTGGGTAACTTGCTGCTGACAGCTTTGGATTGAAACACTGTTTATTTCCAATTTGCACATGTTAAAGTGTGGTGGAGTGATGTGCAGGTTATATATTTAATATGTTACCATAAAACACTGCATGTTCAGTTGAATGTCAGAAGCTGTTGCTGCTCAGTTTTCTAAGCACAACACTTACTACCTGGCACAGGCAGCCAAGAGTAGTCAGAAGCACCAGCAACTGGTGAATTAGTAGAGAAGGAAAGCTGGGACTTCATGTGTGGTTCTTCCTACACTTGCATCATTGCCTGTGTGTTGTTACAACTCCTTGTGTTTTGACAGGGAACTTGCAGTTTTATATTTGTGTTTCTGCAGTCAAAATCCAAATTCGAGTGAGATACCTGGGTGATTTAAACAGTTGTAATCCCAATTTAATTAAATTGAACTAGGGTACACCAACTGAAGATCACTATTCTAAAACTGTGCTGTAATGTTTTGGAAAAACTACCAGCATTTCCTTTATGGATTTGACTGAAAAATTCAATGCAATCCTTAACTTCCAAGATAAGTCACTTTACAGATACAGGAGTAAGTACCTAAATACCAGAACTTACTCTTCTCCTTTGAAACTTCAGTCTTCACTTAAATGAATGCATTCGAGTACTACAAGTTCACTCTATATCTCCATCGCTCAGTGTGTTCACAGGGCCATCACCAGCAGCTTTCTCTTCGTACTTGTGACAAGACTCTCTAATTTGTCTGTGACTGAATTTTTGTTGTGGCTATTCCTATATTCTCACATTTGTCAGCTTCTTGCCTGAGCTGGTCCCCTTACCTTCTTTAATTTTTGACTTTTTCTTTATGCTGCCCTTCTGCCTGGAATAATTCTCCTTTAAATGTCCAACAGGCAGGCAGTCCACAAAATGGATAAAAATAAAGGATAAATCAATAATGGATAATTAAAAATAGTGGATAAAAATAAAATATTCATTGAAAACTGACCTCTTCACATAAATATTTCATCTTTACTCAAATACCACAATAATATAAAGACATTCCTTAAATCTCATTCCTGAGGCAATTTGGGAAAAGCTCTGCCTTTGCTTCACCCAATTTTCATTTGAAATGTGCTAATTTGCCTATAAATTGTACTCTGCTCCTCTCTGTCAAACTGATGTTACAAACTCATAGTGCTATAGTGGCCCAGGAAAGTATTTCAGGACATGCCAGTACCTTCCAGACTAACTTGCTGTCTGAAACACCCATACAGCTGCGGCCCCGTTTGGGGAGAAAGAATTTTCCTTTTAGTCTGGAGTGAACATAGATGTTCAATTCAGACTGAAAGGAGCTGATTTCACTTGCTGGTGAAAATATTAACTGGGCTGCTTTGGACAGAACACTCTTGTTTTTCCTCCTAAATGCTACTAGAAATTGTAAAGCTTAAGGTGAAAGAGTAAAGGAAGCTTGGTATCGTCGGTCGAAAAGGTGGAGATTAGAAACATTCCTTCCAGAGCCCCATTGCCTGGTTTGCATTAAGCACCATCAGTACAGAGCATGTTGTGTAGAGAGAAATCTGATCAATTTGGAAATGTAGTAGAGGAACTAAAAAGGAACAAATTAAAACCCTGTATTCCCACTTGAGTTGCTTCTGCCCCTCGGGGCTCATCCAAAGCCTTTTGAGGTTTGCTGTAGATTCAATGAAATCTTACTGGATGTCAGTGATGAGGAATAATAGGATTAAGTGAGGAAAGTTTTGCTTAAATAGTAGGAAAAACCTTTACAACCATAAGATCAATTAGGCCACAGAATTGGCTGCCAAGAGGCGTGGTGAAATCTTTTTCACAGAAAATGTTCAAGTGAAGACTTGAATGTCAGCCATTTGCAAAGGGTTAGAGATACTGGAATTTGGCCATAGTGTGGGCGTAGAATCTGATCTTTAGGAATTGCCTGACCTCGTAGTGTTTCCTTCTAGAGCTGAACAACCACATGAGGATGCGCTGTTCTTTAATGAGTATATTACAGGCTAGAGCTTTTGTTGCTCTTGCTCTTTGGCTTGCCCCCTTGCCCCTGTGTTCTGCTCCTACTTCAGCCTTCTGAAATAGGAGATAGAAAACTTTAGCTAACATCATTCAGCCTCTTGATGCTGTCATGCACGTTGTTGTATAGATTCTAGTGTGCTCTGAAACGTCTATAAGAATATATGGTAGGAATGAGGCCTCTGAAGAAAACCAGCAAAACATTAATTTGTTTTGATGCTTTTATAGTAATGGCTGTTTAAATTATTCCAAGACATGTATGCTTTGTATTTTGGTGTCAAGTCTGGCAGTAACAGAACTAAATACTCTCATTTGTTTCACTTCTGCTTATTTTGCAAGTTGAAGAGTAAAACTGGGGATGTGGGGGGTGAGTTAAAGACTGCTTAATTAGTATCCTATTGCCATTATCAGACATGGATTGGATTGACCATCAGTCTGACTCAATAGGCCATTTCTTGTATTTTTATGTAAGACTCATTCCCACTGCTAACAAGCTTGGGGGAAGGTTTGCTGTTTGGTCATAACATGACTATTGGGAAATCATGGACATGGTGGAAGCTTAAATTCCAGGAGAATGGACATAGACAGGTGCCATCTGGCCAATTCAGAAGATGCAGGAAAAAGGAGTTTATGAAATCAAGCAAGCTTGATAGTGAAGTCAAACACACTGTGCTCAGATATAAGAACAGCTTTTGTAGCATTGTACGATAGATCAAAATATTTTTGCACAAAAACAAACAAAGGGTTCACATGAAGACAGGAAGGATTTCTTTCCTCAGGGGATGCCTTTTCCCCAGGCATAGGATAATGGTGATGTCCATTTTCTACAGGAAGCAAGACAGACCTATGAAACTGATGACTAGCATGGGAAAGATTTTGCTATGAATGAACACTTTCAGTAGCCAGGAACAGAAGACTAACTAAAGGAAAATGAACTTCTTTACTCAGCATCATAGCTTCAAGATGTTACTTAGATGGATCTGCTGAGCTGAACACTAAGAAGTTACCTCTGTCTTCATTCTCCCTTTATGGCCAGAACTTCTTGGGAAGAGTAAAAAGAATTCCATCTTTTCTAGTGCATCAGCAAAACAAACATCAGTGCGGTGTGTTTATTATTAACGCTGGAATGAGATCCATACAATTGAATTGACAGAGCTCAAGTGGAATTTGTTTCTCTTCCAGTAAGGAAAATCATCCCTAGAATTATGAACTGATCAGAGAAGATCCTGAAGAGAAGATTCAAAATCATCAGCACAAAGCTATAAGTAGAGTTGCTTCTGTGGCTAATCAGTTCTTACATATAACCTCTTCAGTAAATATTCAGTTGGAATTAAATCAATGCAGTCCTAAATTGACTGTATAGAGCAGAGGCTACCAACATTATTTGCCTAGTGTTTTGCTTTTTTCTCCTCTGTTCTTTCTCTTGGTGTTCACAAGATTATGATGACCCATCTATATGTACGTAGAGATTAGACCAACAGTATTTCTGTACTAAATATTTGCTGAGTGCTAAATACCCCTGCTATTTGGTTAATACGGAGACGTAATAAGGAAATATGAATTTAACTGCACTTCTGCTTGAGCTCTGTAATTCACCTTTAAGCTGCAATAAGTGTGGACCTGGGGATATTCCTATTATTTGAAAATCCTTAAAAGGAGCTTACCAAGAGGCAGGTAATTGTCTACTTCATGTGAAATGGTTGTAAGTGAAGGAACATGCTTTCTGCATGTATAAACTCCCCATCATATTCCCCATAGAGTTAACTGTTAAGGACAGATATCATTCTGTTTCTTTCTTAGATCATGTTGGCAGGAACTGTAAAGGGCATCTGCTTTTTCTCAAATAGCTTGTTTTAAAAAACTTTTTTTTTTTATTAGGATCATGTGGGTATTTTATTCCTATCACTGTTCTTCTTTAGTTATTGTGGCATGGCCAAGACTGTTAACAATCTTGCCTGAAAAAAAAGTTATTTATTTAAGCAAGTGTATAGCAAATCAGATGACTGTTTGCAGGTCCCAGGAGCAGTATGCAAAATGGTCTAAGGAATTAGATTGTATCATCTAACCTAATCTATTGTTCTGTTTCAGACATTGTTGAATGAGCTAGACCGAAGTATGGGGCGATATCGAGATGAAGTAAATCTCAAAACAGCTATCATGTCCTTTATCAATGCTGTTCTGAATGCTGGGGCTGGTGAGGTGAGTCACTGCCCTAGAAAATCCATCTCGAATGTCATGCTTGAATTAATTTACCTTGGATAAGGCTAGCAGATTATGTCACAAATCTTGTGTTCCTGAGCATATATAGTTTGTGTAAAGTAATGCTTAATTGTTAAGTTCAGTCCTACAATGTCTTAATATTATTTCATTCCCCCGTCTCTTCTGATTCTTCTAATATAACATACCTCACTGAAATGATTGTGGTTTTCGGTTTTGTTATTTTTTTAAGAACTGCAAAGCATTTACCTTTTTCATATCAGTCTTTTAGAAAACATCTTGGTTTACCTTCTGAAATGTTTTGAAATGTTAATATGTTTTGACTCAAAGCCAAACTCAAAACATCTTAATTTAAAAATGTCAAAGGCTTTCAGAAAAGTCAGTTTGTTGTTTTTCATTCATTAGCAACTCTTTCTTTTGTGTCTGGAGAATAGTTTAAGCTGATTTTGTTTCACTAGCAGAGTAACTTTCACTTTTTTTTTTTCTTTTTTTTTTCTGGTTAAACCACAGTAGACAACAATCTTGTAAGAGCTCTTTCTGGGAGTGTATTTGGCTGTATCTGCAACAGCCCTGTAAAGTCCTACTGACTAGGTGTCATTTAGCAGAGTATATGGTGAATTTATGACAAATATCTATAAAAAATGTGAGGATGAACTGTAGTTCTGTACATCTGTAAACAGAAGGTAAATCTCTAATTGACTAGCAAGGCAAGCACTCATAACTTTTGCTCTTTTTGGAACACGAAGTGTGCTATCGTTGTGACTGGCCTTGCAGAATTCGTTGTAGATACAGGAGGGCAGTATTTTTAAGAGAAACAGAGGCAAAGACTTTAATTTTTTTTACTTACTTTACTAGAATCCTGTAATCATCATGTGTATTTGGTGTCAGGATAGAGGTTATTAAGAAAGGAAATATTAAGGATTTAAGCAATTTTTTTTAGTGTGATTAAAAGCTTCTGGAACCATGTAACTTGTTTTCCCCCACTTTATAAGGACAATTTGGAGTTCCGATTACACCTACGATATGAATTTCTAATGCTGGGAATTCAGCCTGTTATTGACAAGCTAAGAGGACATGAGAATGCAACACTTGACAGGTAAGACATTTTCTGAGAACTGTCATTTATCAGCAGAGAGAAACATTGATCTCCTATATTTGGGTTTCAGATTTAAGCACAAAGTTGTCTCTGTCTCTCCCTATAACTGTCTCCCTTTAAAGACAAAAAGGAGATTTGTCCTTAAAATTAAAATCAGCAGATGAAATAGGAAACACACATGCTAAACTGGAAGTGGCTGTGACAAGGATTTCATGAATTGTTTTTCTTCTAAGCTGAGGATGACAATCAGAATGAAAAAATAAATGTTGTAATTCTTTTCTTGTATAGCAAAAGTGTAACAAAAACCTGTTCCGGTTGGAGGGAAATAAACCAGTTCATTGATTTCATTGAGATTGAGTATGTGTGGACATCGTGCAGGTTCTGGATTTCCAAGATTTTTCTTTAACCTCACTCATTTTTATGATCTGTTTTGTAACACAACCCTCCAAACAGTAGCACTGGCACAACTGTAAGAGAAAAGGAACCTATGGTGGGCAAAGGGGTAGAGATGCCAAGCAGACAAAAGAGGAAAACAGGTAGCTATTTTAAATGTCTTTGTTACTGTGCAAAATTTAACAGTTTATACTTGCTGGCAAGTGTGTTGCTGTCCCTTACTGTCTGCTACTCCAAGCCCCTTCCTACAGAGCAGGGCTGGTCTGTAGGTATCTAGGACTTTCTAGGTAGGAATGTCAAGTTTGCCGAAGTATATGGTGAAAAAATACTAATCAGGCCTATGTCTGCAGCTTTCAAGGGACCATTTTCTCAAATATCCACTGTTAGGAGTTGCTATAGGGTGATGGAGCATATAATGCTTCTGGGATTCTGCATAAGCAAGTGGTTAGCACCAACTGCCTATTATGAAGAAGGACCTCATGTCTTTGAGCAGGGAGAGGCTTGTATCTATCTATTAATGCTACAGGGAAAGATTACATACAGTTTTGTGCCTGTGTTTGCTGAAAAGCTGGAACAAGTAATGTCGGTTTTTGTCTACAACATTATAACCAAGAAAAGGATCTGTTCTGTATGACTCCCTGTTCATTTGGCTAGTAACCAGGACGTATAGAAAGAGCTTAAGATTTTAGGAACTTGTGGATCTTACAAGTTATAGCGATGAGAATGATACAGGGGTTTGAGAGGATCCCAGATGTCTAGATTATGTAGGCTGTATGCCAAGCCAAGAAAAGGAGATGTGCCACAGCCTTTTTCCACAGCATCTCCTGTGCTCTGATCTCTGTGAAAGATAAGTCCATATGCCTTGGTCAACTGCATCTCTCACCAGGTCCCCCAGATCCCACCAGAAGCATGCTGTTGTGCTTAATAGGTAAATGGAAAGACAGCTGCAAACTATGCTGTTTATCACACAATCATAGAATGGTTTGGGTTGGAAGGGATCTTTAACTAATCCACTGAATGCATCTCTACTCCACCACATAAAAGAAACAGCTTGTTAATGTTGCCTGACATGGCATGGACTTTCTAGATGCAGCTAATGTTGTCTAGTTAACAAGTATGGGGTGGACTTTCTAGAATGCATTACCAGTGTAGGCATTGCATTAACTACAAGTGGAATATCCTTTTTCAATTGTATGTTTATTTTTAGACACTTACTTCAACACCGTGACTTAGCACAAGGGTTAAAGTACATTTTGACCACAGCTGATCATTTCTTTTGGCCTGATATTAGCCCCCATGGGTTGCTTTGCATACATGTTCCAACATTTTATGTAAGAAAGGCTTGCCAACTTCCAAGTGTTGCTTCTTCTGTGGCGGCACACTTAGTTTAAGTCTGAATTATGGCATGACCATTGGTGGTTTTTGGTTTTCTTTTTCTATTTTCTCTTAGGCACTTAGATTTCTTTGAAATGGTCAGAAATGAAGACGACCTGGAACTTGCCAAGCGGTTTGACCTGGTAAGATTTTCTATGGTGTACCTTAACTTTCCAAGGCTGAACATCTTTTTTGTATCTTTGATGCAACTTCCCCTTGTGTTCCCTGAAAGCAATGATTGTCTTTGGTGCTGAGCGTGGCTGGTACTCTTGTTTTCACCATTTCTCATGTAGCATGTAGGTGATCTCTGATCTATGAGCAATTAAAACAATGATCACAGAACAGGGCTTCTGCAATGTCTTTTACAAAGCCTTCTTTATTTTGTTTAGCCGAAGGTTCAGGAGCAGAAGTGGTTATCAACACTGTTAGGCATGTTTTCAGTCCTAACAATCAAGATGCATTCTAATTTCAGACATCTCTATTACAGGAGTATGGGTTCTTTACAGGACTTGGGCTCATTTTTGATGCTTTTCCCAATAGATCACAGGAAACCACTGAATACTACCACCTCAGACACTGTGGAGAGAATCAGTACTTTAGAATGGGTGGAGTTTGAGATGATCATAAAACAAGAACAGTTTCCACAACCTCTAGCAACAGTAAGGGTCTGTAGGATCCAGAACAGTTGTAGTTTCCTCTTTTTTTGATTCAGTTCCTGCCAAACACTGATACAGAACAACTAATCCTTCCCTGCTTATTGTCTATTATTTATGCCACCAACTCCTTGGACCCAAAGATTCTCATAGAATCATTGGATGGTTTGGGTTGGAAGAAACCTTTAAAGATTACTTAGTCCAACTTCCTTGCAATGGGCAGCAACAAGCATCTTTCACTAGACCAGGGGGGTTGGAATTAGATGATCTTTAAGGTCCCTTCCAACCCAAACCATTCTATGAATCTATGTTGCTCAAAGCCCCACACAGTCTGATCTTGGACACTTTGAGTGATGGGGTATCTTATTTATTTATTTATTTTGCTTCCTTCAGGACAGCTGTAGGTGTCTTGGTGGCTCTATGTGACTTTCTAACCACCTTTCTAACCCTTTGCCTTGGGGATCTTTTTCTATTCTGGAGTAGGTGAATGCATATCTCAGAGACCCATGTACAAGCTCCTCACTGAGATTATATCTGGGCACTGCAAGAGACTGCAGAGGTCCAGTTGCTGTCTCCATGTTGGTCTGACCTTTCACAGTTAGGCTTTCACTGTGCGTGTTTTTTCTCTGACTTGTCCTTGCACTGCCTTTCCTCATTTCAGATCCACATTGATACAAAAAGTGCCTCACAGATGTTTGAATTGATCAAGAAAAGATTGAAGCACACAGATGCCTATCCCTATTTGTTATCCATCCTCCAGCACTGCTTGCAGATGCCATGTGAGTACATCACAGTTTTCCAGAGGAAGGGGTGTTGCAGAAATGGGTGAAGTTTTGGCATGGGTGCAGGGTCACAGTTACCAGGACACACACTGCTTTTGTCCTCCATTCAGAACTTGGCAGTGCCTAAGGGACTTAGTATCTTGCACTGATCCCACCCAGCAGATTTTGTGCAATATTTAAAGCAGCAGCTTGACTTCTTTGCACTTGCAAATAAAACTAAGTAGCTGGAGACATTCCAGTTAGTCACTGACAGAGCTCTTAGTGACTTTAAATTAGGAGCTTTAAAAAAGAAAGAGCCCTTGTGCTTCAGATCAGAGAATTCTCAGAAATAGACACCATTTTGAATGTTAACAAAATGCAGTGAGGAATTTTTCTGGTGAAACAATACAGTACTGAAAGCTGTTCTTTCACTGGGAAATTCCACAATAAGTCTTCGGGCTGCTATCTTGTGGCAAAATGTCAGCTGAGGGCTCCTTAACTCAAACTGAAAAATAACATTGGCATTTGTTTTCAAGAGAGGTGATAGAAATCTACTTGTTAACTGTAATAAAGTAATTCAGTCATGTTTTAAGAGTGTAGCAGCTGCATGAAAGCATAGCAAGTTCACATAAGAACTACTTGCCTTAATCCTGTTAGGTATCAGGGGCTGGTTTTGGTTACTTTCAGCCATATTTGAACAGTCAAACTAAGTCAACTTTAGGAAGAAGTATGCAGTGAGCTTTTTCAGGAGGTAGTGTGATATGTTTTCAGGCACTGATTACGTTTAAGTACTGCCATGCACAAATTCAAGCAGTTGTTTGTCCCAGTGGCCTCCTTGCTGTTACCATTTAAGACAATACTTGAGCTTTGGGTATCGACCTGGAGTGTTTGGTGGCAGAAGAGTTAAGTCCTTCTAGGGTAGGACAGGATTGTACTGGAGCAATTTAAAATAATTTAAGGTCTAGGTTATGTAGCTAAGGGAGCTAAAGTGAATTTTATGTTCCTCTGGCTCTTTTATTTGACATGCACGGGATCAGTCCATTTTGTTCAGTTTCTGTTCTTTCTCTCAACACATTTTGATCATGTTTGTATGAACTTTTTGTGTCAGTTGAGTTTCACTGATCTGCAGACAACTGAATAACCGAGCATGCAGATAGAACATCTAATTGTTTTTATAGTGCTTGGTCACGATATTACCTAGGTGCATAAAAAACAAAGCAAAAAGCTATCAATCCCCATAAATTACTGAGTAACAGCCATCATGATCATGACAGAATCAATTCTGAATTCATCTAAAGTGCAAGCTGGAGCTAGTCTGTCAAAAGGATTGTACAGCCTGAACATGCAAGACAGACATAGAGTTGCAAATGCTTGTTATGTGCTGTTTTAATATGCCAAGTGTTTGTAAATAATCTTCTAGCCTCAAATCAGTGTAAGGTTCTGTGTACTGTAATTTACTATATAAGAGATTAATATGGGAACCGGAAAGGAAGGAATGCCAGTTTGTCAGTAGATCTATGCACTTTGGCATGAAAATTGAAGTTCTCATGGGTTGGTCATGTTCCTTACAGATAAGAGGAATGGAGGAAATTTTCAGCAATGGCAGCTGTTGGACAGAATACTCCAACAAATTGTCCTGCAGGATGAACGAGGAGATGATCCAGATATAGCTCCGCTGGAAAACTTCAATGTCAAAAATATAATTAAAATGTAAGCTGCAGCATTATTGTTAGTTTCTCTTATAAAGGTATAAGTATATGATAAGTATGCAGGTACTTTGGAAATAAAATATCTTACCTGAAGAATTACCTGTGTTAATTTACAGCTTCTTGTTGACTTGCTAGTCTTATAGCCAAGTTTCCCTTTAATGATGTCTTCAACAGATGTTATTTTCTAGCAAAGTCCTTGCTTTTGGTTTCTAATTTATTTTAATATTAGTTAGAAGAGCAGAGAAAAAAAAAGTGATAGTATAACAAAACTATCTCATTTTTCCTTTTTCTTTCAAAATGTTGATGGAAGCTTTCATTGATATTCTCCCCAAAATGTTGTCATTTCTACTTAGATCTGATTCCTCATTAATGAGCACATAGTTTAGAAAGATTTGAAATAGTTGAAAATAGTCCCCATCTAGCACATAAAACCTTTTACCTCTCAGTAAAGCATCTGCATGTGTTCACCCACAGACTTGGCCAAGGGTTCTACCATTATTTTTTCCCATAGGGCGCATCATTTGAGAAGTCTAGCTACATTAGCTGGCTCTCATCTCTACTTCCCTGTTCACAGTCCTTTTTTAGCCAAACTTTTGGAGTCTCCATCCCATCCATCTACCTCAGGTAATTCATGGCCCATTAACCTTCTGAAATATCTACTGGGTAGAGCATTCTTATAGAACATAAGCCTCAGATGAAATCAAGTTCTCCTGTACTAAAAATTCTACAGTCCATCCTGTTACAGGCATGAGTCAAAATCAAAATTGGTTTCTCATAGTGGAAAAGTACACCAGTGCTGATCTCTTTCTGTCTGTCTGGATATCAGACTCCATTCTAGAACTTTTGCCTAATCTTCCATTTCTACTTTCATAACTACTACTCATTTTGCATATCTAATCAGTCTCCAGCATGCCCTGCATATTTTCTGTCAGTAATAGGAAATAGCTGTGCCAGTGTGAGATACGAGCATTGCCTTGTTACTGATATATTACCCAACAGATAAGCATCCTCCCTTCTCTTAAGGAAGAAAAAAACAGAAAAAGGGAAAGAAAAAAAAAAAAGGAAAAAATAAAAAAGGAAGGCAATCCAGCCTTGTATTAATGATAGGATAATTTGTATCCCATGGCAGGATGATTTTAGCTATGACTTCTGCCTTTCAGAATAAGTAGCCTTGGCACCTTGATGGTATTACCTGAAGACATGGAAATGCCAGAATTTTTTTCCCCCAGACATTCCTTTATTCCTCTTTAGGACTTCAAGCTACAGGATATCACCTTTTTAATATAAGCTGCTAACTACAATAGGGATCAGGATTTGGACCCAGACTGACCACTGGTATGATCCTGATTAAATGTAAATTCACCAGGTTGTCTTTTGCTGATCACTTCACACAATGGCCACTTGCCTTTTAGGCTGGATAGCTCAGAACAAATTTAAATGATCCGATTTCGTCTTTCAGGCTGGTGAACGAAAATGAAGTCAAGCAGTGGAGGGATCAGGCAGAGAAGTTTCGGAAAGGTAAGTGTGTCCTTTGTGTTTGGGGGTGAAAGCGAGGAAGAGCATGATTCAGTCACAGAGCAGTGGGCAACAAAGCTAGGCACAATTGGATGTCCAAGTTTTCCTTCATGGACTAAACCTGCTTTGTCCCTTCCAGTATATTTCGTCTTATGATGAGTTTATCTGCTTCATAGGATAGGGCTTCCCTCAATCCTCACGTGAAGTGATTTTACAATGTAAGTGAAACTTGGGCGTTGCTCTATTGATCACTGAATATTACCATCAGAACAGTCATACTCCATTTTCTTTTCTCTACTTTCATTAAACATCCCCAGATGAACTGACAGAGTTGTCAACTTTATTTCAGTGTAACCTCCGTTTCTTTGGGAACTGTCCATGAGCTTTATTTCATTAGCCCCACTTACCTGTTCTTCCTAGATCATGCCGAGCTGATGAGCAGGCTAGAGAAGAAGGAGCGGGAATGTGAGACAAAGACCCAGGAGAAAGATGAAATGATGAAGACACTGAACAAAATGAAGGATAAGCTGCAGAAGGAATCCTTGGAGTTGCGCCAGACTCGGGACCAGATGAATGACCTGGTAGCTCAACTTAATGAGTTCTCGGTAAGAGACTGGGATTCTTCCCAATCTTGTTTAAAGCCTGCTAACAAGTGAATGATGAACAAAAGTACATTATCTAGCCAGCTGCAAAGATGAACACATAGAAGCTGTTCAGCTTTCAGTTTGGACCAAAATCCCTGAGCTGGTGGTATAGAATGGGTAATGAATGAATGGCCTGCTCCATTCCTTCTTTTCAGCCAACTTCTCTGTAGAAGCTGCTGAGGCACACATGTCCTCCTCTAGGCACTCTTTTTACTGCTGAGGTGGTCCTGACTGGAGGAATATTTTGGTGGAATATAGAGAAATCTCCCAGATATGAAAGCAAATTTAGCGATGAAAGAGGATTCCCATTGTGCTTCAGGAGGGCCTGTGCTACCCTGGAGCTCTGCAGAAGAGACATTTGCATCTGCTTCTTCCTGCCTGTTCCAGTAGTGTGCCGGAGCTTCAACTCGCAGGACACAGGCCTGAAGTTAGACACTGCAAAAACCAGATTCATTCCCTCCTCCCTCTCCCACTTTATGTTGGTGGGGCCTAATGACAGGTATTCAGTTTTTCAAACCCAAGGTTTAAAACCCAGGAGTTCAAAAGTTCATAAGATTGAACTTTTCTCTTTTTTCATACATAAGGAGAAAATAATACATTTTGGCTTCTTTTACTAGCTTTCTGTTTTTCTGAGCCATTTATGGTTCCCTTTTTCAAGCTCTTCTCCACAACTTCAAGGGCTTGAAACTTTCTCTTAAATGAAAGCTGAGATTCCTCCCTTTATTGCATGGCTTTGAGTGCAGGAGGCTTTAAAGAAAACATCAAATATTTTGAGACTTGTAATAAAATCACATCAGCTGGCAACATGGAGTTATTGTGCCTTTTAAACCGTTTGCTTTCTTTTTCTGTGTGTTTTTTTTCCAGCACGGGGGCAGTATTTCCTTCCCACCCCCACCACCCCCTCCTCCAGGTGGCCCACTGGCTTTGTCGTCTTCTCTCATGTCTGAGAATTTGCCCCCGCTGCCACCTCCTCTGCCCTTCTCCAGCTGCCCCCCTCCTCCTGCTCCACCACCTCCTCCAGGAGGACCTCCTCCCCCACCAGGAGCACCACCCTTCTTCAGCATGGGGATGCCCCCTCCTTCAACAACCACCTTCAGCAGCAGTGGCACCAGCCTGAAGAAGAAATCTATCCCGCAGCCTTCACACCCACTGAAATCCTTCAACTGGGCTAAGCTGAGTGAGGTAAGAAGCTGCAGTACTCTCAGCAATTAATTAACTTTCCGAGTGTGAATCAGTGTTGATTAATGCCATGGTGACTGAAGCCAGTGATATTGTGGCTTTCCTTAGGCTGAGTCAGTAGGAGTCAGTAACTGTCCTGAGGGAGCCTCCCCACTTCTCCAGCAGTAGCACAACACATCTCCTGTCATGACCAAGGTGCCAGTTAGGTTGAGCTGCAGTGGATCTGAGCATACCAGTGGTTCAGCATAGCTGCAGTGGGACTAAATGTTGTAAGCCATAGCTGGACATCTCTAGGGCTGGTATGCCAGAACTGCCCTCACTTGCACATCATGGAAAGGGACAGTTAGAGCCAGTGCAAGCAAAGCACAGTGAGGACCAGCTTCCAAACTAGCCTCCTCTACCCTGACAGGAGCAGTCTCCAAGGAGAGAAAGGTGGCCTGTTTCTCCTCACCATTCACTCGTGGCCATGAGGCTAGCTGCCCTTCTCCTTGCATGGTTACAGCTTTGCCACTTGAGAATAAAACTCTGAAGTGGAAATAAAAGCAGAGGAATTGGATTCCTCCTGTTGCACTCATATTCTGCTATCTTAGTTGCCTTTACCTCCTTTCCACTCCTCTCCCTGATTTTTTTTTTTCCTTTTCTCCCTTTCTCTTTAGGTCTTAATTTTTTTAACTGATTTACAAAGAAAAAAAGTGTCTGTATTGAGTTTGGATGGCTGCCTAGAAACCCAGGTTCTCTTTTAGACTGAAACTCACCCAGGGCCCAACTCAGGCATTTGGAATGAGTGTCCAGGGACCTCTGGAATGCCACAAGAATTCTCTCTCCCCCTCTCTCCTTTTCTTTAAAATAAAGTGAAGTGAAATATTTGCTGCACCGTCTGTGCTTGTCTGTCAAGGCCACGTGGGGGGTGTGGGAGAGAATGTAAAGACGGGGATTTATTTTCCTTTGCAGAACATGGGACTTAGTGCTCTGAAAAAAAAGAAATAATAACTAATATATGTGTATATATATATGAATATATATGAAAAAGGGAGAGCCACAGGTGTTTCTGTTTAGTGTACAGTAACTGTAGGCTTATCCTGCCCTCTGGTTAGGAGTGAAGGCAGCTGTACTAATAAAATTGAAGACCTGGGTGGTGAGGTAGGTAAAACGTGGTATTTTGAAGAAGGCAGAATAGATGGAAAAATGGACATAAGAGGGAGGAGTTTTCATTTTGGGGCGTTTGTGTTAGCATTTTGACCTAGTGAGGTCCCTGCAAAACTGCAGAGGTTGAGGTGAAGAGCTACATTTGTCTTGTTCTTTGGGTACCCTTTGTTATAGAATTAAATAATTCCGCTGTCTGCTGGAGAAGGTGCTGGATTTTGTCCACCTTCATCAGTTATCCTGGATTCCCTGCTTCAGTACAAGGCACTCATTTTCTGTTCACGTGGTTATGAATTTTCTGGATACAAAGTCATGAGTAGGTCAGATAGCCTCATCTTGCATTTCTTTACTATTGCAGCACTTTAACGATGTTCTCCTTAACTGTCAAAGTAGCTATATATAAAGTAACAAAGACTCAGAAACAGCATACTGGCGGGGGACAGCATATCTCCAGTTCTTGAGCATGGGGAAACCGAGGCCTGGAAGTGTGCATAGTATTATTTTATAATATTATTATAATATTATGTTATTTTGGTTCATGGTAGTGCTTAACTTCCAGTTCATATGGATGCAAGTTTTCCCCCCAAAAAACAGTTTGAGAAAAAATACATCTGATACCGTGTTTTTCTTTATCTTTAAAAGCTGGTCCGGATAGCAAAGGTAAGGGTATGCTTCCACCATGCAACACAGCAGGGTGCAGTGACCTAGTGCTGGAAACAGAGCTGCACATGCACTTAGGGCTGTAGCCAGATCGAGTATGTTATTCAGCTCTTTGCATCCTGTTGTGCCCACCCTTCAAAGTAGTTAGTGCAGGCTCTCTATCCTAAGCTGTGTAGTAAAAAGATGATGCTCTGACTGAGGCAGCCCACGTGATTTTGACCCCCTTTCTGTCCATGGAGTGAAAGAAAGCTGACAGAGCCCTAGATGAGTGTGAATAGGGCTGACCATGAGGGATTTGTCTATGGTATACTTTCTTAGCAGAGGAATTAAGGCTGTTCTCTGGGGCAATTGGTGTGATTTTTATTTTTTTTTCCCCAGCCCCAGTACTGTCTTAGGAAGGAAAGGATTGATCTGCTGGGCGTTACAAGAATGATCAAATATATTCTAACTCTTAGCAGTTGACAATAACAGATTGTCCGCAGTTCCCATGGGTACAATTAGAAAGAGCTTGATTGGAAAGTATTCATGCTTCTAACAAGGAAACTCCAAAAACCCACTAATTTCTTCTGGGAATTACAGATTTTGTACTAGCTTTGATATGAGCTGATGGTCAGTGGCAAAGCCATTTGGATGCATACGTGGGCTGAATTCTGGTTAAGCCCTTCCACACCATAGCTGCATTCATACAGCACTGTAGCATTGTCTGTGAATTCCATTCATACAGCACTAGAGTACTGCTGGTGCCAAGGATCTCTGTTTTTCAAGAAAAAGATACTGCAGTGTAACTACTGTAATGCCCTGGAAAGATTCCTGTCTTTGTTTCTAAACAGAATGTAGAGTTTGCTCTCCCAGCCCGGATTTTACATAACACCCAAGATCAAACAGGGTCCAGACATTTATGGTTCATCCAAACAATGGAGTGGCTTCAAGCACTCTGGAACTATGGATTCATATAATTAACTCTTTAATAAACATAAACATAATAATTTGAAGTTGTCAGAGTGAACCAAGTCAACTGTCCACTGTGGTGCTTGTTATCTCATGGCTAGAGAAGAAATATCCCATTATGAGACAGGCTGGTAATGACTCCAGCAAATGATCCAGACCTGGGTGAACTTGTGCGTGTAATATTATTGATTATTCTGATTTCTGGAACTTTCTTCCTTAAAACAGCCTGAGGATCACAGCAGACAATGATACAGGATTTCTGCCAGAAATTCAAACTTAATGGAAAGATTCCTGCAAGATCTCTGTGTGAAGCTGCTCGTAATAGCTTTGGTGGTGCCCAGTCCTACGCTGAGATAAAACAGCTGTCTCAGTTAACAAAGATGCCAGAAATACAATTTTTGTACACAGTGGATTTTTCTTCCATTGAGAAAAGGATCTGATATTAAGAAAGAAATTTAGAATCATAGCATGGTTTGGATCAAAAGGAACCTTAGAAATAATCCAGTTCCAACCCCCCTTCCATGGGCAGGGATGCCACCCACTAGATCAGGTTGCCCAAGACCCCATCCAAACTGGCCTTGAACATCCTTTTTCAGATACATAATGGAATTATGAATCAAAATTCTAAGGTTTTACACTTTTTGGTGGTTTAAATTTACAAACATTTGGGGATTGTCTGGTTCAGTATTTGCAGAACACACATAGTTTCTATGGTTTTTCTAGCCCTGCAGGATAAATGAAAGGCTGACCCAAAGTACTGTTAGCTTTCACTTTTCTGTGAGGTTATTGAGTCATGATGGATTTTGATGACTTGCTGCAGAGTATCATTATTTGTTCTTCAGGGTAAATAAAATCATCCATTGGATGTAGCAGAGGATAGCTTGGTATGATTTCTAGCTCCTAGAAGCACTCCTATTCTCTAATCTTCGTTGTTTTGTCCACAAATTGTGCTTCATTACAAAGGTGGAATAACAATTGTAGCAGCTCCAGTGAGCTAATTATTAAATGCAACTTACCAAAACTTCAACTTGATGCAGCAAATGTCTTGTAAATAATTGTTCTGTAAATAAGATATTTCCTTAACTAGTATGTACTACCATTTCGATAGAACTCTGGGAAAAGTAGTTCAGAGGGTGTGTTTCTTAAAATGGGCCAAGGCTTTGTAAAGCAGAGAAACCACAGGTCTTGGTAGACTTGTTGAATGAATAAATGCGTAAATAAATACATAAAGATGGGAGAAAGCATGTTGATTAAGTGACCTCTCTTTTTTCCTTTTTAAGGAGGAAGAAAGAAAGGGAAGAAGAAATAAGAATTTTCTTTATTTTAGAACTTTGAGTTAGGGACCATAAGTATTCTTTCTGGTGCTGAGGGAATCATTTATCATAGCACCCATGTTACACAAGTCTGTTTCTCCTAAAACTCTCAGTCTCTCTGGCTGATGACAAGGCACAATCAGCCAGTTAATCCATAACTGAGTAGGAAGAGGTCAGTGTAGGAAATTATCTGGCAAAAACAACGAAGTTTTCAAGGGCAGAACTTAGGATAGAAATAGAAAGGACAATCCCATTGCAAGCAAAGGTTGTTTATACCTATGCCTGCCTAAGTTTTTCTTTGACTGGACTAGTTAGCTTGTTTTTTAAGCACTAAGATGGGTTCCTTGGGTCAAAGTTCTGTTTGTGCACACCATTGCAATGAGTGCTGCTTTGGAGTTTGTCTTCATGCTTTATGTAGCACACAAACCAGCTTATTTGGGATCAGATTTAACCCAAGTCTTAAAATGAATATGAATGAAACAGGAATCATTTTAACTTCCTTGGTTCCTTTTTTTCTGGAAGATACAGATAAGAACCACTCTCTGCGATCCCTTTGTGAGTCTCAGAACTGCCTGTTCAGGCACCTCTGCAATCCAGTAAGACCAGCCCATTCTGTAGTGCTTTCATCAGTCTTGCCATTCGTGGGGAAACTTCACTCCCATGAGGGCTTTCCAGCCTGACAGGTAGATGGGCAAGACTCTCATAAGTAGCTGTCGCTTGAGTCACATCCAAGCACAGCATACAGCTCCTGGTGCCTGCCAAACACAGCACGTAGCTCTTGGCATCCCCAGGGTTCTGTCCCAATGACAACTCTATGGATGGTTCCTGAAGAAGGTCCAGTGCCTTTAAAGGTTGGACGTGGTGCTTAAGGACATGGTTTAGTGTGTGATATTGGTGATAAGGGTGATGGTTAGACCAGATGATCTTGGAGGTCTTTTACAACCTTAATGATTCTATGAATTTCTGACCACTGGCTCTCCTCAAGATATATTTTTTCATCTCAATGTTTGATGGGACAATCTGAAACAGGGAGGAACTCAGAGAAACATTCCCAAGTTCAAATACATCCCTTAGTATTTATAATGCAAGGTTTATAAAGCCAGCCTGGAAACCAAGTGAGATTGAACACCCAGCCTGGATGCTTCTGGCTAAGACTGGCAGTAGAAGCCAACATTAGGATAAAACAAAAATTAACTTTGTCTCATATTCCTTTAGCTGAGATGAGCTTCCCAAACTTGTTTGTTGTATTGTAGTCACAGGGTCATGTTTTTGCTTTTATGGAAAGGAGAGCCGCACTGATTGCAAGGAGTGATACAAAGATATTGGTGAGCCTATTCAGGGGTATGTGCTCCCATCTAGCACACACTCTCACTGCAAACAGCATTGCAGCAATCTCAGCCAGACAGCCCTCCCTCCCCTCGGGCACTCACAGGCTGCCTCTGGAGGGAGGGTGTTGGTTTTCCTCCACAGTGTCTGCTCCGCCAGGAATTTCCTCCAGAACACTTCACACTTTTATTTCCCCCTCATTTCATTTTCTCATCAGGTGTTTTTCCTTGCTCCTTGAGCCTTGTGGCTTAGCACATTTCCCTCATTCCTTTGATGACTGTGAATGGGAAGTAGAGCCTGTTCCTAATTAGTTCTGATAATGAAGTGTTAATGCACTTTGCTGTGTAGGTGCAAGTCAGGTACTTCAGAGCTGGAGCCTGTGTGAGGGTTTCATTGCCATTGCTTGCTGTTCCTGGCTTTCTCTCCACCGGTGTTCTGATGTTTTTTCATCTCCTGAGGTTTGCTTAGGTCTCTTTACAGTCCTTTCTGTCCTTTCTCTTTTTCTTTTAATCAACACCTTCCTTATTTTTCCAGCTAATAAAGTATACATTAAACGTACACTTTATTAACTAAATGAACTGAAAGACAGTGTGGTCAGGTGTGAAGAGCCCTGAATGGGTGTGAATGAACCCTGTTCTGAATGGGTACTTGCCCAAAGCTTATCCCACTCCACATGCACCTTAACAGTCACCAGGAAGGAGAAAGTAGCTCAATCATTGTGTCCCCTTTTCTGGCAAGGACATCTGTCCTGAGAATATCAACAGGAGACCCCAAATCCTCTCCTAGCTTAGTGTGACTGCTAATTGTGGTGGGGGGATTGGAACTATATGATCTGTAAGGTCCCTTGCAACCCAAACCATTCTGTGATTCTACGATTTTATGATTAGATAATACTTGTATTATAAGAGCTTATTTGGTCCAGGGCTGATGAACAGCAAAATTGAAGGAGGAGTCTGTGCTGTTGCATATTTCCAATTAGTGTGGATGATGCTCTCTCAGACATCTGGGTATAGCTTGTGCATGAGTCAAAAAAGAACTCAGATAAACAGGAGAGATCACATAACAGGAAACAATTTGACTTCAAAGACTCAGGGCCTTAAAAGTAAAATAAAATCTTAAATTACTTTAGCAGGCAGGCAGAAACTACACACCCTTTGGGGTTTGCACCAGAACCTGGCAAAATTGGCAGATGGGAATACATGTCTTGGGTTTGTCATACATTAGTGTCCTTCCTGAGCTTTTTCTTCATGATGATGACACTTCTTTCACGTGACCATAACCATCGTGTTAAAGAGATGGTCAATCCTGAACGAAAAATTACTGTAGAATCATGGATATTGCTTGAGATATGGTCTGCTAGACTTAGAATGTGGCCTTTCATCAGAGGCTTGCTGTGATGATTTTTCAGGCTATTTTTTCACACTAATGTTTAAAAAACAAAACAAAACCCAGCGACACCAAAATGGCATTGGATGTGCTTAGCTAAAAGGTTTTGCTATCTCATTAAAATACATCCTTTTCTTTCAGGAGAGGATCCATGGCACAATCTGGAATGAGATTGATGATTTAAAGGCATTCAAGGTGCTGGATCTAGAAGATTTTGAAAAGATGTTCTCAGCATATCAGAGACACCAGGTAGGGGTGAACTCTTCCATACCTTGTCTTCCTTGAATTTCTGGAGGAGAAAGGAACACTTATTACAGTGATTTGGATTCCTGCCCACCTGCAGTCAGGCTGCATTATTTGCTGTTCTGTCACTGTTTAAAAAATGACAACATCAAAAGAAGATGGGAGGATACAGTGGGCAGAGTATAACCTTCTGTTATCTTAATACTAATAGACAGCTCTGAGACAACAATCCCCAACAGGTAATGCTCAGTTTGACCTCAGCAGCCACTGGCTTCCAACAGCTCCTGAGCTTTACATTCATGCTTACTAGCCATCTTTTTATTTCTCTCATATCTTTCTACTTCTCTATTTCCCAAGGAAAAAGTCTGTAGTTACCCAAGTACTGAAGCAAGGTGACAGCATTAGCTGTCTTTTGCTTTGTATCTTTGTTTCTTAAACAGCCAACTGATCCAACTGGCTAGGTGACAGAAACTGTCTGAATGAGAGATTATAATACAAACAGCATGCTTTAAAAGTAGCCATTTATTAGAATGTCTTTTTTCCCTCCTCTTTTTCTTGGAAAGCAAGTCACCTTCAATCCATCTATCTCCATTGAATGAAATTTAGCAGGAGAGGGATTGTACTTGCATTCCCTGAACTCCCCCAGCTTTCATTTGTTTTTGGAATGTGCTTAGAGAAATTCAATCTTTGCTACTCTGTGGAATCAGATCATTGCTTTGGAATTTTAGGAAAAGACACAGACATAATTACCATAAACAGCCTTTATGATTAAGCTCTACAGTGATGATGGTAACTTCATTGTAATTATTCAGTACCTTAGAATTAACACGCAAAACCCTTGTCTTTGGACTTTTCCATCTGTTCCTTTCTTTATCTCTCTCATTTTTTCCCTGTCTAATTCAATGAACATAATAAATAACTAATGAACAATTCTTCTGATTTACTATCTTACAGCCATCCAGATAAGCATCCTAATGTGAATGTTGTACAATGAGATTTAATTTCTTATGCTCCTGCAAATAGCAGCTGCTGTTTCTGTGGGTTCCTCTCTTTCTCAGCCTGTGAATCCCATTCACTGAAATAAGAACTTGGTTCACAGAGGGAAAGAAAGGCACAGAAAATTGCACTGGGATTAGACCCTGTTGCCTACAGCTTAGTTATGGCAGTGAGCTCCTAGGAGTCACACAAGTAGCCTGACTACCATCTGTGCACAAGAGCAACCATGAAGGTGCCATTCCACTGTAGTGGTTTTGTGTCAACACATGCCATTTCAGCTGCAAACATTGCAGTTTCCTCACTAGAAACAACCTCCAAAAGCCTTGCCTCCTTTGGTCTCCAAAATCCAAAGCCAAAGGCATCCTGGTCTGCAGACTCTCAGAAGCAAAACATTAATGGATGTGTAACCAACCACTGCAAAGTAGCCTGGCCTATTCAGCCATAAGTAAAGCTGACCTTAAACAGACATTAAACCTAAATCTTCCCACTGGAATGGAGCCATCATCAGTGACCTCCATGAGTCTCAGAAGAGTCCTCTTCAATCCTTATTAAGCACACTTTATGACAGTGACTCCAGACGCTGGAGTGTCACTTGTGTAAGCTCATCATATTTTTATGTAGTTAAGTGTATTTCTACCCTTCCATCTTTCATTCTGACTTTTCACTGCTAATTTTTTCCTTAAATATTCCATTGTTATTACTTTAATTTATACTTCCTATTTCATCCATACTTACTCCAAAGTGAACTGGATTCCAAACAACAAATCCTCATTATTTTTTATTTTTTTTTTAATTTTAAGTCCAGGCAACCAAAATTGCTGTTGAATCAAATTCTTATGAGAACTTTTCCAGTTGATTCACACATAGTCTTCTCTCCTCTTTTCTTTCTTTAAATATACCACTCTGGCCAAGTATGTGTTTACCCTGGGTTTGTGACTTTTAAGCTTCATCCAAATGTCTATAAAGAAAAATGTCAATGCAAAACTCTGCTCTTTTACATCTGAAATGTTAAACGAATTCAAATAAAGACATTTCTTTCTTTGCTGCTATTAACATGATCTTCATATTTTTTCAGTTTCATTTATATTAAACAGCTTCTTTTCTTTCTTCGTCATTTTTTTTTAATGTCAAAGGATCTTTTCTCCTCTCTCAAGCCCAGTGTGCCATTTTGGGTGCCTATCAGGGAAAGCAAAATTGTCCAGCATACAGAATACTGGACCAAGAGTTCTTAAAACTTGTCTTTTGACTTTGCTCCAATCTGACTGTGTAATATTGACCTTTTGATTCAGTATATTTGATGTTTTCCTGGAGTACGAAATAAGTTATGAAACAGTTGGTGTTTGTTACCCAGTGGTGCTGTAAGATTTTTTTAGTGGTTACAGAGTGCTTTTGGCTATAAGTTGTTGGCTATAAGTTGTTAAAGGGTATAATGTGCTATTGAAACAAGTTGTTACTGTTAACGGCAAACTGTGCCTCTGCATCAGGAGAGGAGAACTGACCCTTGATTTTTAACCTTGGCAGTTCTTTCAGTAAGGCTCTGGACTAGATTTGTAAAGGTATTTAAGCATTATCGTAGTTAATGTTTCGAGACCTGAGAGATTTATGGTTTGGAGACCAAATTTATTCTTTTCTGAAAAGACCAAGAACTCTTATTTCCCTAACACCTGCTGATTTAAAATATGCAAAGAAATGCTGAAATACCTTTAAACCATCTGGCCCAGTATTACTTGCTAAGCATTTTATTCTCTTAGAAAACAGTGTGTGTCTAAATTCAGCTGCCTTGTTAAACTTGGTATCCTTCTCTGTGACTGATTCTTGGCATGTTTCCTTCTTTGTTATTTGCGGCTGCTGCCTGCATAGGACCTGCTAACTAACCCCTCCTCCTGTAAGCAGGTGAGTATCATTGTCTGCCTTCTGATCCTCTCTTAGTGCTTGGGAAGATGAAGCGCTGCACCGTGCTGTTACAGGATCATGCCTCATCTCATGACAGTTTTTCATATGTCCTTGCACCTCTGTTTTCTGGGTGAGGAAAGTATAAATAAAATAGAAATTAAAAAAAAAATAAAAATCCTTTGGTTGTATCAGCTCTGCAATAGGAAGGCATAGTTCCTTTCTTTCAGTTAGCTATAACCTCACTGTGCTTTCTGCCCATGTCTCTGTAGTTCTCTTTTTGATGATCCTGGGCAAAAAGACCAAGGACAGAGGAGATGTGAATGTGAACTCTTCCTTCACTATGATAATAATTTCTTCAGTGGAGAACAAAGGGGTTGTAAGGCAGCCTTCATTCCCACTGTTCCCATCTTCGGTGCATCTGCTTTGGACACGACTGAAGTCTTCAGATGTGTTCACCAGCCACAGGCTTCCTGATAAAGAAAATCTTTCTTTCTGTAGAACAAGGATGCACTTCAGTTAGACAAAAGGATTTGTGCCAACTGAGAGGAGCAGAAGGGTTAGACTAGAGGGAAACCTACCACATTTAGGATTGCTGAAAGCCTCAGAGAGTTCAGTGCAAGATTGAAATAGTGTTTAGATGATGCAGAGATATCAGACTGCCAGTGTGTCTTCAGACTGGCTACCTCTCACTTTATTCATCATCTTAAGCAAAATTTGTGGGAGAACTTTTGGGAAGAGCAACACTCTCATAAGGGATTTTTCAGATGTCATCCCTCATGTCTTTATAAGAAAGCAGTCCTCACTGTGAGTGCTCAGGGAACTGTATCTAGAAAGTTTCCTCCGCCACTGGAGGAGGCTGATATGATCTGGGTCATGAACCTGGGTTATCATCATGGCAATGTGCACCATGAAGCAAGTCAGTGTGATAGAAATGGTTCCAAAAGTATTGACAATTACTGAAACCTAGCATACTGCTGTGGTACCAGACCACATGTTCTGCAGTTCACCAAACTCAAATTGTATTTGAAACAGTACAGCAGTATGAGAAATGTATCCCATATGTCTAGTCATATCAGTAGTGAATTTTTTAGCTGATCTTTGAATTTGCAATTAAAATCTCAAATCTGAAATGCTCTTTGAAGCATATAACACAATATTAGTCCACATGGAAAGTTGGTAAAGCAAGATGGAATAAAATGTAGGGATGTTGTCTATTAGCTTGACAGCAGCTCCAACTGTTCTTACTTTGCGTGCTTGACTTATCTCACAAAAGCTGGTCACTACTGCCCCCTTGCTCCTCTTTTTCTGTCTAAGAAAATGCAGATAGTCCATATGTAATCTGTTTTCCTTCAGCTAAACTTGAAATCTGGCTTCAGTAAAACCTGAGGCTTCATCTGCTTTTGCTTACACATAACTCCAAGTGTCTATAAATATCCCTCTCCTCAATATGAGTTCAAGAGAATATATTTTTAGATGAGACCAGCCCAATCCTTGGTCACAAGGAGTGGGCCATGTCTGAATAGTTCAGGTATTCATCTCTGTTGAACCTTCAGGGCTGGGGAATTGAAACGAGATGGAGACTGTTACACCAATCCCTGTTATATGGCTTTAGGGGAAACCATCTGAACACACACACAGTGGGTAGACGAGCCCTGAAATTTTATTTAATTTTTTTTTCCTTGGAATGGGTGCTGAATAATGTTAACCAGCTGTGCTTGTCTGCAAACACTAGCCAGTGAGGGGCAGTGAGGCTTTTAAACCAGGAGCAAAGTACAGACCTACCAATACCTTTCTTACCTCTCACTGTTCAACAGCTGCCTATTGCCCTATTCCCCTGACATCTCTGCATATCAGATAATGCATCCTTAGGGTGCACTGCTCTTTGCTTTTGTTAGTTTTCCTCAAAAATAACAAACTTGTCAAATGCTCAACTTTTCCTTTCTTAGAAACACTATTTGATGTATCCCATAGAGATGCATTTTTTTTTCTGCCAAGCTAGACACATTGGGTACCTCCAGCAGACCTATAGTGTGTGTGTCTTCAGGTGGTGCACTGTACCTGCTTATCAATGCTGCTTAATATTGGTGGTGGCTCACTGCAACACATTTGTGTGCAGTTGTATGTTGTATGAATCCTTTTTATATCCAGTAGCAACACCAGCTGAGTGTAGCTGGTTGTAGCATGAACTCAAATGACAAGTAACAGTATGAATCTCTTTATGGCTTACATTTACATCTTAAATATTTGCATAAAAAACAATCTTGAAGTGGGTTAATCAGGAGAGTAATAAACCGTTCAAAAACATCATATTAGGAGTTAGTAACTAAATCAGACACTAAGAGAAGAAAGGCCTGAACTGCAGAACTTTCAGTCCTGGGAATTAATGCTGGGAATTCCATGATTGCCATGGTCTTACATCTTTCCACGGGTGTCTGCTGCTGATCTCACTCAGATACGGGAAAGTGGGGTAGATGGACCTCTTGGTCTGACCCAGCATGCTTGCTGTTATGTCCTAAGAAAGAAGAGAGATTGTTAGCTTGTTGGATGCATTCAAAGCTGGATTATACTCATTAGTTTCAAAATCTCAAGCAATGACAATATGGGTATCATGAAAATGCATTTTTGAAGAGGTTCCAGCAGCTGCTAGCTGGGAAGATAAAAATGGTCCTGTTTCCAATTTCCTCTTCTCTGTTGGTTACAAGGGAGCTATTATCGAGGATTACCACTTTTTATCATTACCTCTACTCCGTTTAAGGAATGGTGTTAAAAGACACTCAAAGTAACTACAGAAAGCCAATCTCTGGAAATGAAACAAAAGCCCTGAGTCTGGTACATAGGCAGAACAAGGAGACAGAGATTTCTGGATGGTCAGACTGGGTCTGCAGTTAGTTTTTATGTTCTATGTCAAACATTCTGGACTGGGATTTTCCAGGGTTTTCCCAAGTGATGAGTTTTGCAATGGGGATATACAGAAAACTTTGGGAAAAGGTAGTTTCTTCATGATTAATGGTATTAATTCATTTTAAAAGAGAGGCTAGTTCACATGTTGACCTTTTGGTAAAATACGTTTGTAAGATAAATGCCATCTTGTCCTACTGTTTGCATGTCCCGCATAATATGGATTGGACTGGCCCAGTGGCAGCCTTAAGAGACGGTGTGAGCTTTATTCCTCATAGGGCTGCAGCCTTTCAAAAGTGCTGTGTAAACTCTGCAGGAAACATCCACAGAAGGATATGCTGTGACACCAGTGGGCTTTACCATCATGTGCCCAGTTTTCATGTCACCCTAATTTTACACCAGAACATCATAATAATACAAGTGATGAGTATAATAATACAAGTAGATGAGTCCAATAGGTTGGAATCAGGTCCAGTATTTTCAGTCAAAGATGATCTTACAGGTTGTAATGAGTTACTTCTGTTTGTCTAGTAATACAGGCTCTGCTTACATGTCTTCTGGCCTTCCTGTCTCCTTTTCTCACCACGTGGGTGGATTTTCTCAAGTTGGGATGTTGTGTTTTGTGTTTGTTGTGTTTTTTTTTTCATCACACTCAGCTAAATCTATCAGTGTTGGGTGAGTAGATAAGGAAAAAAACATGATACTGACTGTTTTCCCCCCTTTTGAATTATATGCAGAAAGAGATGGGTTCAACAGAAGACCTTTACCTCTCCACACGGAAGGTGAAAGAGCTCTCTGTGATTGATGGCCGGAGGGCCCAGAATTGTGTCATTCTCCTTTCCAAGTAAGTGTGCTGAGCCTTAGCTCACAGCATGTGCTGTGGTCAATGTAGAGGCAAGAGGGAATGAAATTTAACAAATGGACATGTTCTTTTCTCACCTAGACCTGCTGTCTAATACCTGTTGCACTTCAGACAAACCTCTCTTGCAGTGTGATAAAAGCACATGCCTTTGGTGAAGTGTTAGCTCTCTTACTACACACACACATATTCACATACACATTTTGTGCATTGAACAGATAAACATAGACACCGGGATTTATCTGAATACTCATCACTAGAAAACTGTCAATACTTATAGGCAGATGAAAGCAGCTGCTTGGCAGTGCTTCTACTTCACTCTATGTGATGTGTCCCCCACGCTTTTAGTGTGCCATTTGGCTCTGCTTGTTCTACGTGTTGTTTTCTAAATGTTAATGTGAGCATCTCCCTGGAATACAGCAGTGTTGAGAGTGGTGTTCATCTTTGTTATTTTTGGCACTTCAAGGGAAAGATGATAAATGTAAGAAGAGATATTCAAGAATTAGGTCTTGTATTTGCCAGGTAGGCTTTGGAAACCATGATCTGTCTTTGCATGCTCCTGCAATGACTCTAATGTCTTAAAATGTTGTGACATCAGAGCTCTCTAGGGTTTTCATGATTTTCTACCAACAAGAGTACTGGGCTGGATGTCACTGAGCAGCAAATTTGTGCAGGCACTGATCCACCCAAGAAGGTTGTTTTTTCTGCCAGAGAAAGGATAGCAAGGCTGGAGACAGGTGCTAGGAAACCTATAACAGTACTGCACAAGTTAACAGTTTAATTGATCAGCAGAAAATACATGTTTCATGTGATTGCTTGTCTGCTCTAGCAAAGTAACAGTTAAAAGCAAAGTTGCAGCCAGACCACCAGGATTGGAATATGTTCTTTCCACTGCTTAGTGAAAACCATGGAGTCTCTCTCATTATGCTACTTATGTGGCATTAGCCTGCATGTCAGCAGGACCCCTGCCATCCAAACTAGCAAGGAGAGAAGGCTTACATTTCTCTCCCTGCAGTATTTGCCAACACATGTCTTTGCTGGTGTTGGCAGCTGTCTGCAGACTCAGGCAGAGGGATGCTGAAGGTATAGGGGCAACAGGATTTTCATGCTGTTTGACAGACCTGTGAAAGTGTGCCTGGGTTCAGATTAAGTCATGTAAGCACATGAAACATTTCCTAGAGTGGTAACATAGTGTGTGCAGGTGGCTGGGTTGAGGAGGATCCAGGAAGGTGACTCGCTATGACTCAAGATGTTTATTTTTAAATATTTGCTATCCCCAGAACAGAAGTGGTATGGATGGCATCAGCATGTTTGTCACCAATCACCTCTTCCGCCATATAAATCTGGCCTAATCCTCTCTAAACAGTGAGAGAGAGACAAAGGACAGTCCCTGTGCTTTGTCTTTCCCCCTGTTGCCTCCAGAAAAGTGGCCTTGCAGCATTAGACTTGCTCTTCAGGGTACACAGCATGTGGCCACTCCAGGTGTGCCATGACACCCGTCTGCCTCAAGTTGCTAGTTGGGACTCAAGAGCTGAAAAGCTGTGTTTTGTGTCCACCACCTTCTCCACTAAGAAATATACTGGTCTTATTGTTAGCAGGCCTAACATGGATGACGGAGATTTTGAGGCTGATCTCACTGCCCCTAAGGATCCTGCCAGTTTGCATCATACCCTGTTAGCTTTGCTGTGCTATGCTATGGGAATGGCCCATCAGCAGGGCTATCACTGGCTTAGATCATTTAATGTTTGTAATGGGTAGTGTTACACCCAGGATATCTGAAAGATCTTACAGCTTGGCACAGGATTGCTACTTCTTCCCATACCTCCCTTTCAAAGCAACTAGAAGAGCAAAAAATTATTGGAAACTAAAATTGCACCTCTGTCTATATTCATGCCTCTAACTACTGTTTCTGCTTATATGGATCTACTGTTAAAGATAGCAATTGGGAGGATTGGCTGTAGACAATAATTGACAGGATTATACGACTCCTTTGACCCCTTGCAGCTTTTTTTTTTTTTTTTTTTCATTACTACACTTCTTCCTCCTCCATTAGGTTAAACTCTGAGAGACGCTTCCAGCCAAACCATCCCTGGCTGCTGCCATGTCCTTGCTTCTCCCGCAGCACACCTTACACATGCACTTGTGGGTGTGCACACAAACACAGTGAGAAGAGATTTAAAAATGGTGACAAACAAAGAGAGTTTGTGCAACCCTGAGCTGGAGCTCCAGCATTCAGGTTGCCATAGCATCTGCCAACAGCTGTTTCCAATTTACTCTAACTGTGCATTTATCCCTGTAGTTTATTCCCCCTTTGTTTACACTAAACTGTCGTGTCCTTTAAAGTAAAATAGCTGCATGGGTTGGGTTTTCTTTCCCTCCACTACTCAAATGTTTTTGTTTTACTAACACTGTGTTAGAAGGGGTCAGGCAGAGCTCATATTTCATATGGTCCAACAAGCCAAAACTTAGCTAGAGTGAGAAATATATGTCTCTTGCTTTTCTTTCACAGAGAGACTGGAGCATGGTAGGCTGAAATGAGATGAAAATTCAATTGTTAGCTAATTTTTGCTGACAGTTAACACTGCAATTTGTAAGATCTCCTCCTTGTTCTCATCTCTATTTTATAGAAAGCTTTATTTCAGCTATTTGATAACAACATTCAGTTTTCCTTCAATGGAAGGATGTACTTGTCCATGTTCAGTGGGGTCAGATGGACCCAGAACCAAGCTTTGTCCCATAGGCCAACTGTAAAGGTTTGAACAGGCACAAGATCAGTTGATCTCACATTATTTCCAGTAGGCTATAATTCAACCAAGACATGGAACCATCTGTCTGTGGTGAGTCCAGGCACCCACCGTCTTCGAGTTTGGCTTTCTTAATGGTGTTTCCAACATACGGTTATTTCTGTCACACTGGAAATCTGCTATCCCTCATGAGTTTCCTGATGTCTTCAGTTTCCACCAGGCTGGAGATTTACTGTCAGACTTGTGTGGTCTGGAAGAGCCATCCCAGATCCCTGTGCTTCCCTGCTTTCACCTCACAGCTGGAAATTTCTCTGACTTCTCTCACCAGTATGGCTTCTCTCCCTCTATTACTTAAGCAACAGAGAGTATTTTCACCGCTCTAGTGTTATTGTTGTAGCACATCTTTAAATGTTCTCTGCAGAACACGCCTATAGCATGCGTCTAAGAGAAATGCTCTGGTTCTGTGAGACACATTGCTCACGTTGAACATGGAGGTTGAATGTATATTTATGGAACATTTTTGCACAAGTTATTTTGCTTGAATTCCAGAAAAATCATTATGTCAAAGCTGTTCTGAGACGTGTTTGTTATTCCTGTGGCCCAGCTAGTTAGCAGAAACCTCCTCAAGAGGCTGGAAACAGTAGGAATGCTAGGAAAATGTCATAAATATAGTAGCAGGAGAAGGCTACACAATCTAACTACATAAAAATAGTTTTAAATGTGAATATCATAGTCATTAGATACTGTGAACCAGGCTTAGAAGGCAGCTTTACTAAATGTTTGTGGCTTTCGTGACTGTTGATTCAAACATCTAGCAGTAAGGGAGAAGGGACCGGTGCATCATTTCCAACCAGAACACTAAAGAGACTGAGTATTTTTCTCACAGAGCTCTGCCTTCTCACAAGTTCTAAACCCTTTCAGCTCAGACGTTAACAGTACATGCTATTCAGTCAATGCCAATCTCCATGTGCTCCTTCTGCTGTGCCCCCAACCCCTGCGTGCCTTTCTGCTATGTGGCCATATCTTGTTCACCCTTATATCAAGGCAGATCCCAAGCATTATGGTAGTTTGGGGTACAGATCATGTCCTGATGCAGAAACAGGTCATTGAACTTAGCAGTTCAGTTCCTTGATGTGCTGCCTTGAAAAACACTAGGCAATAAACACCACTTCTTGGTTTCCTGGAGGATTTTTTTTAAGTAAATGTCCACAATAAATGACTTTAACGGCTATCCAGGGTATGATAAACCCCAGGGTTAAACTGAACACATCAGCCAATGCTGTCATGTCTTAGACCATGACCAGGAACCAGTACATAGGGCTGTCACAAAGGATGAACCACTGTCTCATCAATACACCACTGTAATTTGGAGATTGTCGAGTTTGTCCCTGCTTTGCTCTGCTTGGCTTGGAAAGATGGCCATCTCAGATCCTTCACAGCAGGAAACTGAGAGTGTTTGGATGGAAAGTATCTTTGCCACTCATGAGCTTTCTCTGAAGGAGTAAAAGAAAGGCCTGTTTCTTTCTTTATGCACTTAGCAAAATACTTTCACAATGAAGTGCTGAAAAAAAAAAAAAAAGAAAAAAAAAAAAGAGGCTTCAGTATCTTCTGGGTGAATTTGCAGTTAGACTAGCCTGACAGCCTGACATTCCTGAATGCTTCTTCTGAAAGTAGAGACAGTATTCCCAGAAGGTAGCTATTTAACATCAGCGTGCAGCTTGGCAGTCATACAGGACCTTAGGAGAGCTCAGGAGTTAGAGAAGGTTCATGTCCCAAAGTTTGGGAGCGAATAAACTAGGAGCCTGTGCGAAATGAGTTGTGGAGATGGAGAAGTCTGCAGTCAGCAAAAGCTAAGATTTGGATGAGCCATACAAACTGGCTTTAGGATACAGCTAAGTATGTGCATGTGTGTGGGGTCATGCTCATGCATGAGGAAGGGGCAAGGGCTATTTCACTGCCGCCCTCTCTACAAGCAGCAGTGTCACAACTACTACTGCTAGGATCTTTGGAAGCACTGTGGTTCAGTTCAGTTAGAAGAGGAAATGGTCTCAGTAAATGACAAGCAGTCCCTTTCTCCAAAGAAAAAGGAAGAGTGGGAATGCAATCCATGTGGTATGGGATATTAATGTAGCTGCAACAAGATTCAGGGCTCTCTGGTAGCAGGCAGCCACGCTTCTTTCTCAAAAGCTAAGCAAGATCCAAGGAACAAACCCATGAAGTGACTCACATTTTCTTCTGTGGGGGGAGACGGTTAATGAGCGACAAATATTCTGTTTTGATCCATGGGAGGGAGGAATGAAGGGGGGAGGTTACTGTGACTTAAATCAATGGGTATATTTAAGAAGGAAAAATGAGCGAGTGCTGGATGTCTGTAAGGGAAGTTGATGTAAAACTGCAACATGTCTCCCAGGCATGTTCAGAGTCAGGCTGCCGGCTTTCTCTGAGAGGACGAAACAATAAACCACTTGATGTCTGCAAGTGAAGCTGGTGTTAAATCAGCCGAGGTGTCCTGGGGAGATTAGTGATGAATTACTCTGCAGAGTCAATAGAGATTATTTATGAAGCCGGAGGGGATAGAGGGAGGCAGGCTAAGTACCATATCAGAAGTTATTTGGTACTTGTTGAGTTTTAACATTGCTTGAAGATGACTCAAGCAGTTGGACTTCCATACGCTGCCACCAGATGTATGGGTAAGGGGAGAAGGAGGGAGCATTCTCTGTAAAGATCCTTTTTGTTGCTCATCTGACCAGCATCAGGTCAGTGTTAAACAAAACCACTGTCAATGAATGGATGTGTTGCAACTGAGGAAAGGGCCACAGTGGTTTATTCTGGTCACGTTTGCTTCCTGAGTTAGATCCCTGATTTGGTTAAGAAGTGTGACACAGAGAGAATACAGCTTGGATTGTACACTGTTCTGAATTGAGTCATCTCCAGCAGCTGGAGGAAGAGAGCCTGGATCTGCAAACCTTGTAAGAAAGTCATTGCAGGCTTTCCAATAGATCCTGGAATTACTGAAATGTAATTTCTATAGTGTAAATTTCTGGGCTATAGCTCCACTTTAACTTGATGTCTGTCCCACATGAGTTTTAGGCTCTGAGGGATGCCTCTATTCAGTTCTAAATGGAAAGATTTTACGCATCTGCTTTAGGTTCCTCTTTAATCAGTTCACCTGTTTCTGTTTAAAGCAGCACATGTGTTTCACATTACCACTGGCCATCTTTAAGATCTACTGCATGGCTGGGCATGAATTTTGAAAATAGATGAAGAATCACTTGAGTAACAACTCTTTGGTCAGTGTTCCAGCCAGTTTTTACTGGGAAGATCCCTGTTTTGTGCTATTGATGCTTGCAGCTCTTGAAACGCATCCTGCTTCCAACAAGGAACAAGCCCGCTTCGGAAAAGTAAACTTGCTTTGCCATAAATTTTTCTGTACTTGTAATTGGATTGGTAATAATTGAGGATGCACACCTGCAGGCACTGTGACCCCATTACAGGCCTGTAAGTGACTAAGTTAAACTGTTTTCAGCAGGGGGCTGGCAAGCTTTCTGATTCTCTCTACTGTGGGCTAAACCATCCAAGCCAGATGTTTTCCTGCTGATGGCAGGGCACAGCATCATTCAAGAAATCAAAGTGTTTGTATAACTGTCTGTCCTTGGGGCTCTCAATAATTTTTGAACAGATGATGTTTTAAAGTGTATTTAGTGGTGATGAATGGCGGCAGACAGAGAAGCTTGGAGTCTGAAGTCCTCAGGCTCCTGGACAGAATAGCGAGATCAGCAGTAATGTAAGCTATACCTTCTGTGGTGTTAATGTGCCTCAAACCTTTCTAGCTGGTCTTGTTTACTGCACTCCCAAACACACAGAGGAACTTGCTCGATGTAAGGGGTGATCAGTGTAATAATTGCTTGAGTTATTTGCGTAAAAAAAAAACCATGAAACTCACCCTTTCCCCCCGCCCCTTTTTTTTTTTAAACTTCAGTGAAAGTAGCAAAACCAAAACCAACAAAAAAAAAAACAAACACAACATGCTGGCATTCATGAGTTGGCCTGTTGTGTCTCCTCTGACAGGCTATGTGCCTGTTTCACGAGATACATGTCCGCTGTGTGAAGGCCAGATCCTGGAAAATAAAGGTGCACTGTAACGCTTTCCAAACTGTAGGCACCAAATTGTCTGGACGTGTACGCGTGACTGCTAGGAGCCAGGCCTGCACCCAACAACGTGCTTCTGAATCGTCATGTGGTAATAAGGTTTGATCAGCTCTGGGTCACACAACCATGGACTTTACAATTCATGATTATTAAAGCAAAAAGAAACCCTTCGGCGTTCTGATTGAGACAGCAGGACTTTTGCAAAAGTCCTTGTACTGAGGTTTGTTGTTTTGATCGGAATCAAAATGATGACTCAAAGCTAAAAGTTTCCAGCCTTTCACTGTAAAACTTCTGATCCTTCTATCTCATCCAAGTATGGCCTGATTTCATAGGTTTTCTGGAAATTCAGTAGCCTTTATCTTACTTAGCAGGTATCAGTTTGCCCTCCTTGTCAAAAACAGACAAAATGACTAGTTAGGAACAGAGTGCAAGTAACTAATTAAGAGGTGTAATATTTAAAAGCTTTTAAATGTCTGCTGATTCATATTTTAGTTTCCAGCTGTTGGTTATATTGGGCAATATTAAAATGTTCTAACTTTCTCAGATTTAGTAATATTTCCTGTCTGTACAAATAAAGTTTTTTTTTGTTTTGTTTTGTTTTTTGCTTTTACATAGTTCCAAAAATGTGATTCCATCCAAATGGCATTAGCAACATGAAATTTCAGCATGGAATTTGTTAACACAGAAGACAAAAACATTCTGGCTCATGCATCAGCCTGCCTCTCGTTTATATTTGTATTTTCTCTTTCTGCTGTTAATTAATTATATTGATTGTAGAAGGCCCATGGAGACTGCAGACTTCACTCCTCAAATATTTCTTTTCACACTTTCCTGTTTCAGTCCTCAGATTGAGGTTTTCTTATGGATAGTCTTTTCATTATGGTTCATTCAGTTCTGCCCTACTCTTATAGTCAGTGATGAGGGTGTTGTGGGTTGGGGATGGTAGGACAGATTTTTTTGCTTGCACATTTATTTGTTGTCTCCCACACTGAGAACTACTAAGTTCACTTCAGGCAAACTATCAAACATCCTCTCTATTATCACAAATTTTGACTGGTTCTGGTATGCCCTGGATTTAAAGTGGAGACCTTGAGGATTTTTTAATTCATTCTCTGTTTTCTTTTAACTGATTACCCCTACTCATTGCACACAGATAGACAGAAATAAATGGGAAGGATAATATAATTTTAATACTTTGGATAAAATCTTGGTTTTAAGGCTTGTTTCATATCGGATATGAAGTACAAACTTTTCTGTGCTGTCAGTTCCTTTTTCATCTGTGACTGCTGACAGAATGAACTTACCAAGCACAACCAGAAACCCTTTTCTCAGATCTGTTAAGGAAAGATCAGTGTCATTACTTGTTACCCTGGGAGACTCTAATATTTACAAGTAGAGGTGAAATGTAGATTCACAATCACTTTCTAGCAATGTGGATTTGAGGGATTTTAGTACAGTAAAAACTTGATGAGGGAGGTATTTTGATACAAGGGAAGTTGGAAGCACTTTTGATCTGTGAGGACCTGATTCTTCTTAATCAACGTATAATCTTCGATGTTTGATTAGCTGAAGGGGATTTAAAAAAAGAAAGCTGAAAACATGATCTGGAAAATCTCAGTCTTTACAACATAGCTTCATATTGGACCTTCCTCTGGTTCTTTTGTGCTTTTTTAGAGCAGCTTTTCAGACCTCCTTTTTTCTGAATTGTCAGAGTCACTTAAACTTTGCACTAATGGTACAATATTGATACTGTTGAAAGGCTGAAGCTGTCTAATGAAGAAATCCGACAAGCAATCTTGAAGATGGATGAACAAGAAGACCTAGCAAAAGATATGCTTGAGCAGGTGAGAACGATTACAGTCAGCTATATCTTATTCTGGATAATTTCCTCACTGCCTTTTTTCATCTGAGGTATGTGGATATATGTACTGGTTATGCTGGTATGTCTGCAGATTTAAACTGCATGCTGGAGCATGAGACATGTTATTTTTCCCAGTGTCATCAAACATACTTCCCTCGTGTTTCCTTCCCTGTGTATTTCAGTTTGAATTTGATCCCTCAGGCTTTTGGATTTCATAACAGTATACTTTTCCTGATGCAAAATACACATGATTACTATTGGTGTGGGATTTCCTTTCATGCCCTCTCTTCTTACCTGTGACTTTCCTGTAACTCTTTATACTGTTGATCTTTTTATTTTCTTAATCTCTTCTCTACCCTCTACCCCTCACCCCACTCCCCCAGCTTTTCCATTGGGAAATGTCATGAATCAGGCCATGTATGTCAATGGACTCTAACCTCTGGGAACTTGCATTCTTGCTAGAATGGTTAGAAAGGGAGTGAGAGACTTCTGTCCTCCGCACTTTGTTCACTGCATAGCTTGTAGGGAAACCAAACCAAAACCAAAACCAAAACAAAAAAAACACCAATTAAAACAATTAAACCACCATTGTCCAATTTCCCCCATTTATAGAGGGTGAAAGATGATACTTTGACCAAAGATGCATATGATAAAATTCTTTACGACTGTGCAAAGTTCTCAGCTTCATGACAAGTGTGATTCCTTCTTTGTGTGCAGTCACAGTATTTAATCATACACAAAAAGCTTTTCCGTTTCAGAAATTTATAGCCTGCTTGTCATCTTAACTGAATGCTTGCAGCTGCTCTTAAAGTCTCTACAAGCTTCTGATGCTCCACACCTTTGAATATTACATTTTTGAAGGGTGGGATAAGGTATTAAAGAAGTGGTGTAAAGCAAAGTGCTTGGTGTGCCTTGCAAGCAGTTTTCTCCATGTGGGTGTGTGCTGAGGTTGTGTGCATGGCAATATTTATAACAAGACTAAAGCACAGCTACCACCAGATATGTCAAAAATCTGTCAAAGTATGAGCTTTTAAGGTCAGCACATGAATAGCAGCTAGTGTCAGATACACATCTAGTGGCTTGGTTATTGTTTATTGTTTCCGCAGAGTAGGGCAGGCCTGAGAGAGATAGATGAGTCTTTGTGTGTGCACGATGGGTAGTTCACACTGATTGGGACACATCCTGCTCCTGTTTGCTCCAATCTAAACTTGAAGTAAGTCTGTGGGAATCAAAGTTCTTTCTGTACTTTCCCTTGGTAAGCTACAGTAGCATTTGGCCTTTAGGATTTGGAAATGGGAACCCCCCCCTTGGAAATGAAAGTGAATCTAATAAAGTCAGGGAAGGATAAAGACAGAACAGCAAGCAGAGATTTAACAAAGGTCAGGTTTGTAGCCACAGCTGCACTTTCTTGAAGTTACAGTCGCATGGCTGAATCAAAGCAATGCTTCCCCATGGTGGAAGAGAAATCTCTCACTTTGGTGTTTGGTTTGTCTCTGCCACTCCAGCTACTGAAGTTTGTTCCTGAGAAGAGTGATACCGACCTGTTGGAGGAGCATAAACATGAAATCGAGCGCATGGCCCGGGCAGATCGTTTCCTCTTTGAAATGAGCAGGTCTGTTTGATGCATTATGTGAATATGCACCGAGTGCTTCCTAGAAGCACTTGTAATTGTTATTGAAAATGGATTGTCTAGCACTGAGGGGGAATATACAAGAGTCTGTGAGCCAGCATCATACCCTGTGTTTCCCCGAAGCCCACAAATATTACAAATGTTTGCATTCTTTACACAAACTTTTTATTGATAATAAACTGTCTCCATGCTGTCATTTAAGGACAGCCCCCTAATGACAAGCAGAAATCTGTCTCCTCTGCTTGGCTTTGTTCACACAAAAAGGAGTCTCATGACTCTCATATTTTAAGTGTAACGGGAATTCTTCCAGCTCGCTTTCATCTGGACCTCATGCCTTCAGGTCCTCCATTTTCCAAACTGTGTTGATTAAGTAGAGTTAGATTTTTGAACTATGTCCATAATCCCATGCACAGACTTTGTGGGACTCAACATCCAATAATTAGTTTATGTAGGCAATGTACTGGCCCTGGTCTTCAAAATATGGTTCAAGTTCAGTTCTGACTTTGCTCTACTTTTTGTACAGGATTGACCACTACCAGCAGCGGCTCCAAGCATTATTCTTTAAGAAGAAGTTTCCAGAGAGGCTGGCAGAAGCAAAGCCAAAAGTAGAAGGTATAGTTAAAGCCTCTGTTAGGAGCTGGATAAAGGGGCAGGAAAGGTCAAGACAGTCTTGTCTTCAAAGGAAGTGCTGTTACATTACATGCTATAGTTGTAAATCCAGTGAGTCCAAGACATGTCATGTGCTGGGAAACAAATTCTGTCTGATATGCTTCTTACACCCGTTGACTTAATAAAATCAGCATTGTGATTGTTATGCTGTATATATGACCTGACAGATATGTCAATGTACTACCAAGTATTACTGATCTGCCAAACGCTTCTATGGCCTTTCCATGCAGGTCAGCCTCCCCTTCTCACCCCCTGGTCTTTGCACCATCCCTGTCCTTGGGGCAGTTAGGATAGGTACCTCGGGATGGTGGTATTCTGGAAATGTGTTGCTTACAAAGAGGGGGTGCATGGCTCCTGTGCAACATCTCTGGTTATCAAAGAGAGGAGGAGAGTGTCTTCCATTCTGCATTTTCAGATGAGATCAAGCCTTCCCCCTGTTCTTTCTACCTATGTTTTTAGAGTGGGAGATATAGGAGAACAGCCCCACTCCTGGGTTCAGAGGTGTGGGTTAGATGGGGTGCATCTTCCTTCTAGTTGTCCTGGTTCTGGGCATGTGGATGAGGGAAGGACAGTACATGGGCAGACTACATTGTAGCATTTACTGTGCACTAGTCAGATGGGCATTTAGGGCAATTCAAATTATGGGTTAACATATGTTAAAAAAAGCCACTGTACAATAACTTGTTCATTTTTTCCCCTCTTTTCAAGCCATTCTTCTGGCATCCAAAGAACTCATCCGCAGCAAACGTTTGAGGCAACTCCTGGAGGTGGTTCTGGCCTTTGGCAATTATATGAACAAGGGCCAAAGGGGAAGTGCATATGGCTTCAAAGTCTCCAGCTTGAACAAAATTGCAGACACCAAATCCAGCATAGACAGGTAGGCTAGAAGGCTCTAAATGAGTTACTGTGCTGCTGCGTCTTCTATCACAGCAATGAAAGTGAGGGGTTTTTTTGGTTGTGTTTTAAACTCTGTAGACCATTTAAAATAATTTAGCATTTAAGTAGTGCTTTTAATTCTAAAATATTCTGAAGCTTTTAAGACCAGATATTAACAGACCACTCAAATTTTGCCATTTCTTTGGGCAGTGCACATCTGTTGTTGGATTGGGTTTCTGGAACACTGTGCAAAGATGACAAAATGTAGTATTACACAAATAACTGAAGTAAGTTTTTGGGGAAGGAAGATTTCTATGGAATTTGCCCTTTATACCAAAGGTTTATGGCCATGGTTTTGCAAAAAAAGAAAACATAAAAATCTCTGACCACAGTCTTACACATCCTGTGGAACGTGGGAATACGGCATGTGTTTCTGATGCAGAACTATCATAAACTGGCTCTCTACCTACACCAGCAATAGAACCACAAGGCATAGCTCAGTGAGACTGAGTTTGGTTAGATCTAGATCAGTTAAGGAAAATAGCTGTTTTTTGGGGGGAGTAGAAGGGAATATGCTAGAGCTTATTGTTTATGGACGTGGGCTGCAGGTCTTTATATTGTTACCCCATGTTTTGCTCCACATCCCCATAGTGTTCTGGGAATTAGTCCATCTGTGACTGGGAAAAGAATATCACCTTTGGCTTCAGCAGCGCTAATCCCTTGGAGATTTCCTACACTGGTTCATACCAGCTTGCACCTTTCTTGACTTGTGAGACCTGCTGAGACCACAGTTGTGGTGAAATGACGTTAGGTTGTGACAGAATAAATAATGGCTGTAAGAAGCCATAGGAAATTCTTCCCTACCTAATAGAGTTTGAAATAACAGGACTCTGTTTTGACTACCATGATGTCCTTTCCATATTCCAAGGCTAACACTTGTGTAGCTAGCGTTGAACATTTTTTTAGCCTTAATGTAACTTGACTTGATTTTCCGTATATTAAATGTCCTCTGCAGATTCTGTGCTCTCTCCAGTTCCCAGGCTCTAGTCTGTGTGAAACAGTGACCATATGCTTTCTTGCCTGTCTGTTAACCACACAACACCCACTTCAAGAAGCTGTTAGGGCTGGCTGCTCTCTCTACATACAAAATTCACCATTTACTTTACAAATCTTAAACCTGCTCCTGCATCTTCCTCGATATTACTTTTTTCCACTCCTATTTGAGCTGCCATTGCTTTTGTAGAAGGGAACCATCCTATATTTAAGTATATTTAATATAGCTATATTATTATATATAATATATAATGTATTTTATATATATATTACATGTATATATTATACATTATATTGTATTATATATGTATATAATATATATATATATTAATATAGCTATATTTAAGTTTAGCTATTTTACTGTAGGAATCTTTTTTGCACCTTCTTCAGTCTTCAAGAATCTTTTCTTCTTTTCAATGAACTCATATTTTTCCACATTGCCTCTGAGAACAAATTCACTTCTGCCTTGATAGTTGATGTCACTTTAGTATTTTTGCTTGTTTATTCTCTGGAATATACGGGACGAATAGTATAGAGTGTTATGCAATTTTCTTTTCCATTATACCATCTACACAGATGGCTGGAAGCATGTTGTTGTTTCTGGAATAAATTGAAGTGGAATATATCGCTTGGGGCTTTAGTAAGAATGGTTCATAAAGGGCTAATTCATTTTTGTCTGTGTTACTTTTATTTCAATAACAAAACTGCTAACCGCTGCTCTATTGCTTGTTTTGCTCAGTCAAGCACATTTCCTACCTAAATATTTTTCACTGTTTCACCACAATCCTCGCACTTTCCTTGTCCTACTCATTATCATTTTCCTTCATTTCTTCTTTTTTTTTTAAAAGGAACATTACACTGTTGCACTACTTGATTATGATCTTTGAGAAGAATTATCCAGATATCCTAGATATTCAATCTGAGTTGCAGCATCTTCCAGAAGCAGCAAAAGTCAAGTAAGTCTAATCCTCTTGCTTATTCCCAGAGCTGGAGTTCCCAGTGATTTCTGTTAACTTAATGATTATTTGTTTTCTTTCTTTCTTTGCTGTCTAACAAACGCATGGCCATCCCTCCGGCTGGAGTACCTGAAATGCCTTTGCTGATATCTTTGATGTTATTCAGATGTAGATGACCAGAGAATTTTTGTCCAAAACCATTTGTGTGAATAAAATGACTACTTTATTCAGATATGTTTATATCTGCTCTGTTTCTGAATCAGATATTGTAACTAGGCTGGTTGTTGTTTGTAATTCACTCACCATACTTTGTGGCAGGTCATCTATGTCCTGTGCCATTTTTTTCTGAAGAATTTGGTTAATTATCTGGATGATTTTCTGGATAATCCTAAACTAGTGTCAGTTAGGCACAGAGGCTAAATTAAGTCATTTGCAAGAAGATCCTTCAAAATTTTGCACAAATCAGTTTTGCACAGAAATTTAAAAAGAATTGTATTTTCTGCACAAATTTCAAGGATGACTTTTTCCATTTCTGTAGATGTTTGTTGAAAATGAATACACAAGCCATCCCCTAAAATGCTAGCATTTTTTTTCTTTACAAAGCACTGTTGCACTGTTCAAAAATAACCTTTGCATATTATTTGCCCAGCTATGATTCTTTGTACAGGGAACTACACCAGCTACTGAAAGAGGAGCTAAAGAAAAAAAAAAAAAAAAGTAGGCTCACACCTAAAGACATTTATTAAGGCTATAGTGGTGTTTCGGAGGTGTAATCTACTCCTTAGCAAATACTTAGAGGAGATGCCTGCTCACTCACAAATAACTGCCAACTGGTTACCTGAAAATGAAAAGTCTTTTTTCATAAAAGTCCTAGAGAAAATTTCTTGTTTGCATATGATGGGCAGAAAATCAGTATGCCAGTTGTGTCCGGGGAAGTATTTATTAACAGTAAATTTATATGCTCAGTTACAGTGCAAGTTTGCAAGGACTACAATATGGTAGAGATACAGATGGAAAAAATCAGCAATTTTTGGACCATAAGGAAGACAAAAATCACAAGTCAATATATTTATAATGGAACTTAATAGTCGACTGGTTCATGAATTATATGCAGAGACAATCTGAGACCACAGTAATGTGTATGCTAAATCTGGGGACCCTGTAATGTGTCAAGCAGTTTTTTGCAGGCTGGCCACTCCTTGCTGGAGGGTCAGGCTCAGCTCACAGGGCAGATGTTCTGAGGGCAACCCCCTGCTTCTTCCCAGGAAAATCGCTATCTTTAATGTGTCCACGGGCAAGCAGGATCTGCCTCATCTTACATTTCATACAAAAAGCAACACAGAGCACGAACAGACCCCTTTCCCCTCATTTCTAATCATCTGCTGTGGCTGGTGCCAGAGACCGGATACCAGACTTGATGGGCCAATGGTCTGTTCTGCTACACAGTTCCTGTATTCCTGTGTAACACTGCTCTTTTTGTTTTATCTGTTCTGTGTCTGTCTCCTGTGCAGCCTGGTAGAGCTGGAGAAGGAAGTCAACAACATAAAGACCGGATTGAAAGCTGTTGAAGCTGTAAGTATCTGAAGGTTTCCAAAGCTCCATACTTAAAATATCTCACTCAGAATCAGGGGCACTATATATTTTATGATAAGAGAAGGTGCGCTTTCTTTTTCAGTTCCTTTCCATTCCTTTCCAGAATGCATTAACCAAGAAAAAACAAATAAAAGCTTCTCATGTGGAGCTCCTGCTGATGATCTTAGCAGACTTAGGCCCAATGAAAAGCTTGTTTGATCTCGGTCTGGAGAGTAAAAGGACAGTTTGACAAACGGCATGCACTGGAAGGAAAAATAAAATTCTTTCTCTTTCTTACTGGGGGATGGATGACTGCTGAGAAAATGTTTCACGTGCCTCTTGGAGTACTAGTAAACAGGTAGTGCACTGTTATATGCAACCCTAAAGTATCGTAAGCACTCCTTGGGAAAACAAAGGAAAAGACAGACTAGTTAAGGATGAGGGAGTTGAGCTGTCAAGCAAAGCTGAAATGTTCCAGCTATTAATGAAAACCCTTTAAGCTGGACTTAGGTTGCCTGTTTTTAATCTGTACATAGTGCAGAGACTCCCATCTCAGTAGACAGCAGTACAAATGGTGCATTGATGCAGCTGTGTATATTGAACTGTAGGAGTTAAAGCTGAGGGTATGGGTCTGAATGCTCCCTTGAGTCACAAATTCATGTGTCATCTGTGATTCCCCTATACTGAAGCCTTCTTTAGTTAGAATGTTGATTTTCTTCCTGGGGAATGGCTCTTTCCTTCCTGAAGTAGGAGAGCATAGTGCGGGACACCATGTTTGGTGCAAGATCTAGGAACTCTCATATTTGCTTCTTGGTTATGCCATTGCCCTATATGCATGGCTTTGAACAGCCTCATGTGTTTGCTTCATTTCTGTGAAGGTCTATATGGCCGTTATAAATACCTACCTCTCACAAAGGCTGACATGGTACATAGCAAAATAGTGTTCACAAAATGCTTGAGGAAATAAAGATTAAACGCCAGCATTACTCTTTTCTCTCAGTCTCTTAACATCTCCCATTATCTGCACAAATAAATATGCTCTGCCCCTAAGAACAGAAATCTGTTACTACAAGGAACAAACTCATATGTTCAGTTTGGTGCTGGCACCTCTTGCCTGTTGGATATACTGAGGCACAGGTAGTGCTGAAGAGAGGCAAGACAGAGGTCTTCGGAAGCCAAGAAGGTCCTTCCAGTGGTTATCTGTTTCTTGCCTTTTCAACCAGGGTTTCTTTAGCCCCACTTTTCAGTGTCCCTCTGTCTTCAGGAAGCTATGTTTTACCTGACTTTTTAAAATCAAGACAGTGTAATGCTAGTGGAGCATTTCAGATGGCTGACTCTGAGTGTCTCCAGTGTCTCAGTAGGGGCAATACTGGTAACAGCAGCAGCTTTAATGTGTGACTTTCTTCCACATGTTCCAGGCACGGGGCCTTAGCACCATCCTAGAGGAAAATTCTGTCTTCTGGCAGATGTCCTCTGCTGCTTTTGTCCTCTGCTGTTTCTCTGCAGCTCCTGCCATGGGACTGCTGGCAAAGGGACCACTTTTGGGGAATCGCATTGGGTGGTTTCTGTGAAATGATTACCTATCTAGAAGAAACTAAACCAGGACTCTCCAGTCCCCCATACCTGCTTTGAGACAGGCAGTGATGACTTCATTTTCCTTTCACCTGGCCTGAGTTTGGTTTGCATCCTGGGGATAGAGAAAGGACTGTGGGGCCTACCAGCAGCCTACCAGGTTCTCTGGCTGTCTCCAGCAGTTCATCATCTAATTAGTCAGTGATCCTCCTGGGAAAAGGCAAGTCTTCCAACCCTTATTTCTGGGTTGTTGGGGTAAGAGGAAGGCAGCAATGGGAAGAGATACTGCTGCATTCTCAGGAAGCCATGTTTGGGAATTAAAAGTACCTGTAAAGTGAAGGCTGACATAAAGTTCATGACTTGAAGAGAGGCCCAGTTTTGGCTGGGGCAGGCAATTCCCCCCTGTTGAAATGTGAGTACCTACTTCTGTTGTACTGTCTGTGATTGGGTTATTTGTCCTTTTCCCTTTGCAGCCAATTTTTCTTCTCTTTCCTATACATGGGTTCAATGGGCAATCTCTCTTCCCATTCAATCACTGTCTTCCCCCCTCACTCTTTTTGCCATGGTATTTATCATCTGGGGCTGCCAGCACCTCCCAGTCTGCTTGCTCAATTCGCGGTTTTCTGGCATGTAAAAAGCGGCACTATAGCAGCAATAAGAGATCGCTGTCAGGTGGAAGGGGGAGGAGGGGAAGGTGCGATTCTTGATTCCAGTCCAGTGTGTTCTCACCACAGCCTTGGCTCCAGTGACTGAGAAGTTTCTTCAAGGCCCCTTAAGAATAGAAAGCTAAAAATAGTTTCACAGTCAGATGTTCTTAAAGGTACTATTAACCCTTCATTTTCATGGACTTGCAGCTTTTTTGTAAAAATAAGATACATTCCTTTGTCAAGACAGCTATTGCCTTTGCATAGGATGCTCCCAGAAGAACAGCTAAGTAATTCTTGGTCTTCTCCAAATCAGAAATGAATTCTGTCAGCGGAGCCCTTCTCTCACACAACAAGGAGATCATGACCTCCACTTGAGAAGTCCCTGCCATGACTGAATCATTTCATGCCTACAGAGATCCAGCAGCCCGGACCACCAAAAGCAGTGCTAGCTTGCCATGCTGTTATGACTAGTAGATGCCATTTCTAGAAGATACAGAGGAGTTTCTTATTCTCTGGCATTGCTCTTGGGCTGATTACATAATCATGCTGGTTACTTTTGTGGGTTTTCTTAATTTGGAAGAATTACTCTGCAGGGAAGGACTGGATTTGAAATTGAAGAATAGACAATCTAATCTTAATTTTACTTTGAAACACATTGCTCTCCAGTAACAGTCCCAAGTGCCATAGTTTTCAACAGCGTGAGTAAGATAACAAAACTATTACACTTACCTGCTCAAGGAGCAGAGGGGGCTAGAGAAGGGTGAGGGACAAGTAGAGCAACTTTCAGCTAAAAATAACTTAAAAATTAGAATGAGAAAAAAATATGAGTAATTCTAGGAAGCATGTGAAGTGACATTTCCTTTATTTCTAAGGTCCAACTCAGAGCAATTGTAGCATAGAGGCAATGCACTGTGAAGTGATGTAACTGAATAGTACTCCTGGGACAATCCCTGATGGTGTATTAGGAAAACCAGTGGAGAAGAGGATGTAATATAAATCAGGGAAGGTAGCACTTCTTTAACATGGACTGTTCTCCAGCCACCTACTCATTGTTTTTCCTGTCACTTTTCTACCTTGTGGTCTTTCTTTGTAGTGGTTACATTCTCTTTCCAATTCACATCAGAAGAGAATAGATGTCACATCTGATTTTACATTGTTGATAGCCAAAGTCATTCTTTGCATTCATCAGTGCTGTAGAGCAAATCCCAAGGTGTTTCTCTGAATAGATTCTTATAAACCCACTCATTTGGCTCTGTGAAACGCTATTTTGAGGAACAGTGACAGTGACCACCAAACATACATGTAGCTGAAGTTGCAGCCAGCAGGAAAATATTTTTTCCAAATGGAACAGAAGGTCAGATCATAACTTGACCTTCTGTTTTTCCCTACAGAGAAAGCATGACTTTATCATTCCCGCTGATTATTCAGCTGAGAATAAAGTTGAGTACCAGATTACCATTTAATTGTCCCCATGAGCCTGTCAGCTGCATACAAGCTGAGCACAGGCATGGGAGAGTGCCAGTCTTACTATAGTTTAGTCATTTTGAGAAGTTCTGTAGCTTTTTCAGTGCCTCAGGCATGGTGAATAGAATACAAGAAGTGGTGACATGGATAATCTTGGTTTAACACTAAAAAAACTTGAGCCACAAAGAAAGATTAAAAAAAATATATTTTATTTTTGAGTAGCAGACAAATAGAGCTTAATTTCTTATGGGATTATGTTTTGTTTTGTCCTATAAATCGTATCACAATAGCCACAGTTTATAACTCCATGACTTTTGTGACATCCAAGCAAATGCTTACTATGTAGCAGTGGGCTGGCAAATGTTATACCTGATATTTTTATGCATGTTCTTCTGTAGGAGAACCAATTTTAGCATCTTTTTTGCTGTCCAGACAGTGCTTACCAAAGAACTATATCTCCTACTTCTTCTCTTTCAGGAGCTGGATTATCAGAAGAGACGCATACGGGAATCAGGTGACAGGTTTGTTCCCGTCATGAGTGATTTCATCACTGTGGCCAGTTTCAGCTTCTCAGAGTTAGAAGACCTTCTCAACGAAGCTAGAGACAAGGTATGAATACCTCTTGAAAACATGCATTAAAATGGAAGCAGCAATTTCAGATGCTGGGCATATAGCGAAAACTATAATAGACACTGAACATGTTTTAGGCTGAAGTTTTCATCTTTTTCTAATCTGGTGTATAGCAATTTAGAACACATTTTAGGATTAAAAGAAGGTTCATCGTACTTGCCCACATTTTGTTAGTCTTCCTTAACATTATCTGTGTGTGACAGAGAACTGTGATGGTGATGTCCATGCCAGGATAGCAGGACACTACCATGCTGTGGTGTTGAAGGGACAGCCTTTTAAGCAGTTTCTCAAAACCAGGTCCTTTGGTGATTGGATACAGAGCTGATACCTTTTAACTTCTGCTTCAGACTTCATCTCATCCTGCTCATTCAACTGGGGCTGTTTGGACTTCATTTCTTTCCTTTAAAAGTGCACCTCTGGCTAGTTTGATAATGCTGAATACCCAGTATTTTCCATTTGCACTTCTCTGTTTCTGCTTGTATTTGATTGCAAGCACAGAGATCCCAAACATGCAGTTTGTCAGACCTTCTTGGATCCTTCTCACAGAGCCAGTACCAGGTGTGTTACTCTTCAGGTGCTACTGTGATCATGTTGTACTTCCACTGTCTGCACCTCCTTTACCAGATTTGTACAGCTAAGGAGGTGCTTGCTCTTTGCTGGTGATTGGAGTCTGGCACTAACCCTCTCTGTCTCTCAGTTGAATCAGGAAGAATTTATAGGAAAAGATCATAAGCATATGAAAATGTTTAGAGAAGAGCAAGTTCTAAAGTAAACGGTATGTAATGGCAAATCTACCCTTGTTGGCTGGCATATTAAAAGTGCTTGGCTTTATGAAGCAAATGTGTTATTTCTTTTGGATTGAGTTGTTTCCACTGCTGGTGTCAGACCTTGCAGGGATACATAGCAGTGTTAAGGGACCTGTTGCATTATTAATGAAACCTGTGCCTTTGGGTTGGTAGGCCTTAGATTTTGAAGGACAGGCAAAATACAGGCCAAGGATGTGGAGAGTAAGAGTCCTCACTCATCCAGTCGCTCTTCAGTAATGCCATTCTGCAATTCAAAAGCATTTCCTTGCTGTGGAGATACTTTTGGTGACTCCCACCTACAAACAAGGGGAGCCACAGGGTCTCAGTTAGAGCTAGCTATCCTGGCAAATGCCAGTGGGGCAGTAGTGATTACTTCACTTTGAAGACAAAGATGGGCAATATAACACTTGTTAATGTTGTAAGGACATTTTGTGGAGAATAATGTGCCTAATTTTTTCATAGTTGTTGTGTTGCTTGAGAATGTTCAAACCACTTCCAGCAGAATGATGTTCACATCATGCTTGCTTTCTAATCACAAAAGCAGTATTTTGCATTCCATGCCTCCACTGAATTTACTGGGGAAAACACATTTTTCTATGGTTTGGAGGCTTCCATTTTATGATTGGGTACATTTTCAATTTCATTATAATTCCATTTCTGCAAGTGAATGTCCTTGGCTTTTGGTTTGATGTTATAGATAGAGGTGGACCTTTCCTTTGCCACGCTATGGCTTACAGCCCAATGTGATTTGTTTACAAGGTCAGTTATGGGCTAAAACCCAGCAAGTGGTACACATCCAGCACAGCAATGCAACTTTCAATCAGTTGCAGGAAAAATGTATTCCTTTGCTTTAAGAACAACCAGAGAGTCTCCCTGCACATGGACTGATATGTCTGGAAGTTGTTGTACACTTTTTTTAGACATAGCCAACATAAAGCCCTTGACAAAAAGAGATGTTTTACTTTAATGACTATAACACGCTTAGGAAACAGTTTTCTACCTCTCCTCACACACCCTTACTATGTTTGAACACATGCCCTTCCAACTTCTCTTCAACCTATGGCTTTGCTTCTTCAACTGGCAATAAGCTGCTTTTGGACTCCTGAAAGGGAACTGTCTGTCCTTACCAATGCTGAGCTATTTCTCATGTTTGCCTCATATTACTTTTCCCCTCCCTTCTTCCTCTTTTTCTTCTTTTTCTTTAAAAAAAAAAAAAAAAAGCTGGAAATTTTCAACAAACCAGATGTGCTTTGCAAAGCCTATAACATCTTCCATTCTCAGTGGGCTCTCTGTGTTTGTTGAACCGGGAGCTTTTTTCTTACCATGGAAACCTACTCCAACTAGCCAATTAAAGGAAGAGAGGGACTAAGACATCTGATTATCCTGTTCTTTTTTTCATTTCTCAAAGCAAAGCTAATAATAATAATTAAAAAAAAAAAAAAAGTAGTGGGAGAGGGAAGACTTTTAAAAATACTTAAAGGAGCCCAGGAAGAATTGGTCTAGTTCACAGAATTATTAATAATAATGAAGCCCTAGTTTTAACAGCTGGAGTTGGGTATCTTTCTAAATATAGATGTGGCTAATTGATTGCCATGAGCTAATCAGAGCCATGTTTCCTCAGCTGGGATTTAAAACAATACAAATTATCATTTCAAACCTGGGAAGCTTTTTATTTTTGAAATATCTTTAGTACTGGCAAAAGTAATTTCAGTATTGAAGTTCTGGAAACGGACCATTACTAAGGTGTGGTGCTGACCTTCTCTGTAAAGGATATATTTCACAATCCCATTCAGTACTTTTTTTGGCCTTTATGCTGAAATGGGACTATTTACTGTTAGTAGTCACAGAAAAGAAGTGGTATTTAAAATTTAAAGAGCCAGATTGTAAGATGCAGCCACCCGTTTTTGCAGAGGAAGCTTTGTAACTATACTTATCTCCATGCAGTAAACAGATGGCTTGGTTAAAAAGTGATTGAAAACTTAGACCTACTCTTTAAATAGGCTCCCCAGCACAGCTGCTTCTTGTTCTTTTTGTGTGATTTTTTTTTTTCACTTCCAATACCACTTTATAAGGGAATATATAGATTAGATCAAGGGATAATGTTTTCTGCCATTTCCCATAAAACCGGAAGGTGGGGGTAGAAGAAAGTGAAATTCTGCCCTGGAATCTTTCACCAGTTTTTACATGCTTGAACAGATGAAACCTTGACTTTTTCACATCAGAAAAAAACAGAATGGGGTTAAATTTTGTCTGTGAAAATTCTTCCCTGTGCTTCCTGTGGGGAGGCAATGAAAATGCCCAGGGAGACAAACAGTGTCCCCCCATTGCGTGAATTTGATTTCCTTACTCGAATAGTAACATTTGCCCTATGTGTAACTTTACAATACACTTGAATGTTGACAGGTATGGACTTAAATCACTATATTGCTGTATAACTCTTCTACCGAATAGGGTTTCATTTTGTGACTTTTCATTCAGGGACCACACTGTGGGCAAGGCTGATGAGAAGGGCAGGAAAAATGTCCATCTCCAGGCTTTCTCATGACAGCTAAACCCAGGCAGGCAAAGTGTTTGTGTTTAGCATTGTTGAGACCAAAGTTCAGACTCCGTGCATGCTTTTAATAAGCTTAGCACATGTATTAATTGTTTTGAAGAGCTGCAAGGCAGTGAAAGCCAAAATCCATTTCAGAAAGTAGCCATTAATGGCAAAATTAATGCAATCATAGCATTGCATGGCTATGAAGCACATGCAAATACTGTGCTCCAAGTGCCAGTTACAGGCTGTGCACTTCGGTCATTCATTTGGGGGACTGTTATTTTCTGTCAGCCTCTGGGGCTGGTGGAGGAGGAAAGGATCAGGACAGAGATGGAGGATGTCAGGGCAGGGTGCGTTCCAAAGGCAGGGGAAGGCCACACAGCCTGCCATCAGAAACAGCCATTTGGTGACCAAATTGTGTAGCTCTTGTGATTAGGACTGTAAATGCTTCAGGGCAGGTCGGTATCTAGCATATCGGAAATGTTTACAGCACTTGTATCTAGGCTTCGGGGCTTCCAGAGTCACTGTTGGTCTTCTGGAGGAATCCTTTTAGAGCATGAAGTTGCAAAGAGAGCTGGGCATAGTCCTGCCTGAAACCAGCAGGTCTCTTTCCATTAACTGATCTGAATCTGTCCCATAAAGAGAACAGACATTTATTTGAACTGCCTTGGTACAGGGTTGGATTCTTTGTAACAGCAAACTGGGGATTACTGTTCTGGGGAAGACAGTTCATGTTGCATGGTATAATTCATTTTTGTGTTGGCTTCTCCCTTGATAGTGGACAGCACAGACAGCAGGAAATTTTTATCATGGCTGTTTTTCCTCCTCCTCCCGGAGTCCCGTTCCTGCCGTTTCCAGAGCTCTTCTGCCACTGTTTAACATTTCGTTGGCAAGCACAGCAGAGAGTGTGTGCGCTGCTGTCCCGCTTTCCCTCTCCTTGCTAAAATGGCTTTTTAAAATAAACAACTGTCTAAACGATTTGCTTTGGCAAGGGGATGAATTCAGTGGAAAGTTTGGCAGAGGAAGCAGAGCTGGCACTGAGCTCGTGGACCTGTTATATCATGGAGCTTGGGGGCCCTTATGGTGTGGAAATGAATTTTTTAATGAAAAAAAAAGAGATACCATCCTGTATTACAGTGGAAAACCTGCTGAAACACAGTTTTCCATCTTGCTTTTGCCCATGTCATCTGTCCCCAAATGACTTGAGGAATACGCAAGTTTCAAAGACCGCTCCCTGTGATACTACAGCACGTCACCAAATTCTGGGAAGGGTTGAACGCGCCTGGGGACTGAGCTCCGGGTTTCACAGCCTACCCAAAACTGGGTACTGTTATGCAGGGAATTTGCTGCTTGTGCTGTGCCACGCTGCTCTACCCTCAACGCCCCAAGCCATTGTGAGCCCCGGCGTGCAGCTCGGAGCCTGGGCTTGGCTCCAGGGCTGAGGATGCTGCCTCCAGCTGCATACTGCCCCTCATCCCACCACCAGTACCTTGTAAAAGCACATGTGATGGCAGCACCAGAGTTACAGGGAAACAGAAGAAGGAATAAAAACAGAGGGGTCTGTTGGAGTTTAAGCAGTGAAAAGACCGTGTGGGTCTCTTTACAGTAGTGCGCTGAATAAGTGTCGCGCCCTATTGCTGTGAAATGAGGGTTTTTTCTTTGTCCTGTATCAGATTTGTGGAGCAACATTTTCTGTGCTTTAACAAATGCAGAAAGTAGAGGCTTAGAGAGGAAAATGAGCTCCCAAGCCACATCATGGGCAAAGCTTGCAACTTTAGCTGGATCTCCTGTCCTGCCTCCCTCTGACCTGTCACGTCTTTCTGGAGGCAGCAGAGAAAGAGGGAAAATGTTTACTTCATAGAACTTCAGATTTCTCTATTGCAGTTATTTTGGGACATCTTGCTCACAGATTTTTACTTTTCATCTTTGACTGCTTTTCCATACATGATTGTGATCTGCTAAGCCATGTAACTGGGTGCCAAAGTCAGGCTGTTCTCAGGATTCATCCTCCCTGCTGCTGCGCAGAGACCACAGCACCCAGAGTGCTGGGCCCTTCCAGCACAGCAACACTGCTCCTCTTCTGGGCAGCTTTGGGGAGGCAGTGTCAAAAACCTCTCTTCCAGTGTGACAAGAATTAGTTGGTGCTGGTAGTTGGGTGACAGGCCACGTGAAGAACATTTGCAGACAACACCACCCTCTAATGGAGACTTTTGTGTATGTAGGATCTAACAGCCCCAAGCAAGGACCTTTTTCCTCTTCAACCCCCAGCCTCCCTAAAAGACCAGGAAACAAGCACCCACGGGCTCAAAGCAGCACAGCTCCTGCAGACCCCAGCACTCATCTTCACTGTGCACAGCAGCATTGAGGAGCTGAGGGAAGAGAAACGGTGCACCACTGGTACAACAGCTGACTCCTCTGGGCTAAAGCTGAAAAATAACGCTGTCAGGCTTCCTCCTAGCTGGCAGCTGAAGTTGCTGCTCTTAATTTGGGCCTAATTTTCAGTTTTCACAGGGGTTAAGCACAAGTTAAGAGGGAAGAGATTCCAGGTAGCACATCTCCCATGAGCAGCACTAAGCTGTAGGTGCTCCGTGTGGTTAGGCACCAGTGGCAATGTCTGTGTGCCACTCAAGTCTTCCTGTGGTGCCTCCAGTTCCCTGGCTGATGGCCACACTGGTGGCCACAAGCCAACAAAATACAGCACATGGAGATACGTTATACTGCTTGTGGTATTCACAGCCTGTATCCTCTCTGCTGAAAAGCTAGTGCTGGTCACTGTGTGTTACTGTGAATCTGCTGCAGTTTTCTGAGTATTTAAGTAGACTATGTGTACATAATGTATAGAGAGAATAAATATATAGAGGGAAACTGAGGGAGAGGGAGTTGGTGTGCATATGTGCATGCATTTGTCTTCAGAGGTTTCAGGGAAAAGGAGTTAAATAGAGAAGTAATCTGTTGCTGTTTCCAAACCCTGAAGTCCCTCCACGACTTGCTGCTGTTGTAGTGCTTCCTTCAACTGCTGCCATGTTTGGTAGCTCAAAGCAACTTGCATTTCTTCCAACACTTTTTTTTTTCTTTTCATTTTCAGAAACTTTGGGTTTCTTTGTTTGTTTCTGGCTGAGAACACAGCCTTTTTTTAAGGAAAAAAAGAAGCCAGTGCTTCAAACTGCCTCGTGGGCCTGGCAGGGAAAGCAGAGGAGGGGAGATGCTAAATCTCTCGCGCTGTGCCAGAAGGAAGCTGTTTTCCTTGGAGATTTCTTCCCCCTGCAGTTGACTGGGAGACATTGTTTGTACTTCACCTGGTACAGGGCCAGAGGGGTTTATAAGTCCTGCTTCCAAACTCATGTTGTGCTTGGGAGCTGAGCCTGAACTGTGCTTGCTCTTTTCCATTCTGCAAGAGTACCCACAAAAGGGAAGAGAAGCTGGGCTGTGTTAGTACGAGCTGAGCACACACACAAGATTATCTGAAGACAGTCTGTAGCCTGGGAGAGTTGGGGTTTGGTCTGGTAACCATGGATGTCTGTGAGGATGCTCTCCTCAGTGGTGGTACCTTAAGGTGTGAGCAGGGAAGGCCAGGGCAGTGGTGCACCAGGGCACCAGCAGTATCAGGAGTGTGATGCTGATGCTGCCTGATGCAGCACGGAGGTGTGTGAGTGAAGGACAATGATGCAGTTTGGGGATGTGTACAGTTTTATAGGAGTTAGTGCATACATGCTGTAGACAGCATGCATTTTGGTGAGCACAGAGGTACGTTTGTGAGGAGAAAGGAGTGATTAACAGAGTACGGGTACTGCAGGACTGATGTCCAGGAGACAGAGGTTGCTGTGAATTTACCACATCCAGATCAGGACTGCCCTATGACTGAAGTCCTGCCAGTTGGCTCCCTCCACATGCATCCTGCAGCCTCAACATTTGCCTTTTAAAATAAAAGCCACTTGTGATGTATTCACTCTCTTTTAAGTCTGCCCGGGAGCCCTGGCTGCTTTCCTTGCCCCTCTCTCATGCCATGCCTGTCCTCAGTCTCCTCTCCCAGGCAACATGGACTTAGAACTGCAGACTGATGGATGACATGACAAAAGGCTCCTGAAAGGATAGGCTACAACATTATTTCTCAAAACCTCTGAAGTCAGCCCTTTTACTGTGGATTTGAGGGGGAAAGGGAAGGTGGAAGGTGAAAGTCTGGGCTACTTTGGTAGTTGTTCTCCAGCTAGCTTACTCACTGCCTTTCATGCCCCTGCTGTCCCACAGCTGTAGCCAGATGGTCACCCTCTGAAATTGTGCCATCCCCCTCAAGCACTGAACATTTTTTTTGGCATCAGCGGGATAGATGGTGCTTTCCAACACCATTGCCCTGTGTTGCCCAAAGGATACCCATGAGAGCAGATTCCTCAGGACAGAGGCACCTGCCATAACGAGAGGCATTTTTCTTGCTGGCTGGGGGAGGAGTTTCTGCTCACCACATGAATGCTCGGGGGGTATTGAATTACCAGTGTGGTTACGCATAAGCTTTCCTTGCTGTCTTCATCAGCCTGCCTGCCTAATTGTTGCTCTTGTGTTTTCTGCCCCCTTGACAGTATGCCAAGGCACTGAAGCATTTTGGAGAGAATGAGGGCAAGATGCAGCCAGATGAATTTTTTGGCATCTTCGACACTTTCTTGCAGTCGTTTGCAGAGGCAAAGCAAGATCTGGAGAATATGAGGAAGAAAAAGGAAGAGGAGGAGCGCAGGGCACGCATGGAGGCCATGGTGAGAACCTGGGCACAGGAAGGGGTTTCTTTTCATCACCTGTTCGTGTCTCCAGAGAAAGGTTGAGAGACCCAATTCCAGTGCTCATTGCTGTTACTGTTTTATGTTCTCCTTCTTGCCACCTCTATTTGCTATCCGTCTCCTCACAAGCAATGGTGTTTTCCTGTTGGTTGTCCTGTCAGCTTTCAGAAGCTGACAAAAAAAAAAAGTTTATTTGCAAAGTTTGGCTTCCAAATTTCTCTTCTTTGGGTTCGGGTACCCAAATCTAGCCCTACCTTTTCTGCCACAGCAACTTGCAAGATGGTGTTCCCACTGCCCAGTGCCAGACTCTTGTTTTCAGGCTGTGCAAAAGCTCTTGGAGCCAGGTCTCTCTTTGTCCTGCCAGCTGGTCAGCTTCCACTCAGACTCTATCATCATCTGCTGTGTGCTTGTCCCCTGACAGTGAATGGTGACACAGCAAATGCCCTGGCGCCTGCTGGAGCCTGCACTGGCAGTGTTTCTCTCTGGCTGGCCTTAATGCCTTGATTACTGGGGTTGTGTTTGCCCTTGATGTGGCAAGTGGGCTTCTGTGCATTAGTGATTTTGCTGCCGGGAGCTCAGTGTGTTATGTCCCCAGGGGTTCGTGTGAACCAGCCTCCCCCTCTGACCTCAGGCTTTCCTTGGGGATGATGAGAATGGCCTAGTGTTCCCCTGCCTCTTTCCACCTTGCCAATGCTTTAACCCTGGCTGCTGCCATGGCCTCAGGCCTCACTGAGGGGCATTGCTACTTCAGGTGTTTGCTGTGCCAAAAGCAGATTTTTGTTCCTTTCAGAAGAGGAGAGAGGTAAAACTCTAGGATGCCAGCAGACTTCCTGGAACTGTTGGACACAGAGATAAAATGCCAAGACTTAGGCTCAAGTTTCCTTTCAGCCAGTCTAGAAAGTGTCTGTTAAAGCACTACTAGGATGCTTTAGTAGGCCTGATGCACCAAGAGAGGTTGCAGTTTGCTTATGAGAATAATATTCCTGCAACATGGGACTAGAGCACATATTGATGCCTTGGCACTTCCACTTATCTTGGAGCTGAGCAGTGTGGGAGATAACTGAGCTCCCTGTTGCTACCCTAGGGAGACTGAGGGCATCGCCTTGACAGTGGGACTTATCCATTTGTTTTTTTTTGTAAAATCAGTAGTTCTGTTTCATTGCTCTTTCTATTTATATATGTAACTAGTTTCTCTTTGCAGAGTCGAGGCAATGTTCCATATTCCCACCACTGCAGCATCCATACATGAGCTGTTTCATGAGCTTCTGTTGACGTTTTGATATCTCACACAATTTTCCTTTTTTGTTATGTTTAGCCCATGGCTCTCTGATGTTTTTCCCTTCTTACTTTCCTCCTTCTGCAGGATTGTGACTTTTCTGCCTTTCTGAATGTAGCTGCCCATGCCCCAAGTGCAGAGCTGTTTGTGACTGTAGTAGTGACTGGTTTGTGCAGACACATCAGACTAACTTTAAACTCACCACGTTAGGTATTGTGAACACAGTAGGTGCTGCCATGTGTCCTTTTTGCTGCGGGATGGTAATGCTTTGTGTGGCAAATAAAAGATGCTACTCATTCCTCATCTCTCCTGCTCTCTGCTCACCTCTGCAGAAGAAGGGAAGCCCAGCATGCTCATCTGTTGCCCTTGGCATAGGTGATGGCCTTGTGGATAGGATCCTGATTCTTTTTTTTTTTTTTTTTTCCTAAACTAACACATCTTAGCCACTCTTTGACACAGTGTATGTAGTGACCTGGCATCTTGGTCAGCTAATCCTAAAACCTAAATGTGTCTTTCTCCACAGCTGAAAGAGCAAAGGGAAAAAGAGAGGCGACAAAAGAAAGCGAAAGCAGGAAGCATCTCTGAAGAAACCGGGGAATTTGATGACCTGGTATCAGCATTAAGGTCGGGTGAAGTCTTTGACAAAGACTTATCCAAGCTCAAGCGTAACCGCAAGCGTTCGGGGAACCAAGGCTTAGATTCAAGCCGGGAGCGGGTGGTGACAAAGCTAAATTATTAATTACAAGAGAAAGAAAAATAAACAACCGAAAGAAGGTGATGAAAAAGTGCAAAACAAGGAAGATGGATGTGTGTGATGGCTCCTGGCTGACAGCTGCCCCAAAGGATTTCTTTGGTCTGTGGCTAGAGACGTTACCTTTCCATGATCAGCTTTCCTCTCATCCCCCCTCTGTGCTCCTAATTTGAACCATTATAAAAGTGCCTCTGTGGAGCCAGCAGGGTCTGTGACTGGGCCATGCAGAGCTGACAGATTTGCTTCTGGGAGTTTATTGTGTCATCAAAGGCCTCATGGTGATGACAGAAAGTACTTGGGCCTTGCAGACTGCCTCACAGCTGGAGAAAGATAATTTTCTGTGTGCCAAAGTAAAAATGTGCTACGATCTCCATCTTGCTGATAATAAGCAAGACGAATTTCAGAAGAGCTCTGTAAACACCTGTCACTTCTTCAGGATCTAGATTGGCCTTCGGGGGCTTGTCAAGATGTGGTTTTTGAGGTTACAAGTTCCCTCCCAGAATTGGATTTTTATAAGCCATATTGATTAGAGCCTGAAAAATACTTTTGATACCATGTTCTGTATAGTATTTTTGTGTGACCTACATTGTCCAATGCAAGTGATGCTCAGAAGGAAGTAATTGGTTCTGGAAGAAAATGGAATTCAAGAATCAGGATCAACATAAAACATTTTGCAAAAGTCTGTTGGATTCTGCTTTTTTAGAAACGATTTTCTGGAACTTGTTGATGGTAGAGCCTCAAAGCGATGAAATGCCTCTTCTAGGAAAGAAGTTCTGGCTTTTTAGAAAACTATGCCACTGGCATGTTGGAGTTACACCTAGATGATTGTGGAGCCTGTTGTAATTGCTGGAGGGTGGGAAGGAAACAACTGAACATTTCTTACCTGTTTGTGCAAGGTTTCTTAGTGGAGCCCAATGGAAACTGGGAGCTCCCCAGTATCATCCACAGGTCGTAAGTGGCAAAAAGCAAACGGGGTCAAAAGCTGCAAGAAATGAGATTTCTTTTCCACTTGATGCTAGCTGCAATTGCTGTTGGGATGGACTGGACTTTCTGTTTAACAGGCTGACCTTCACTGCACACACCCCACTCCTCCTTAGGGGAATCACATAGTATAGTAGGATATAAATGGTGTCAAAGGAGAGCTGTGGAGCCCATGGCCTGTTCCATTTAGAAGGGATTATTTAGCGTGAACCAGTGGAAGGTCCTGTAAGGAAAACTAAGAACTTTTTTCAGGAGGACACAAAATTGTGTAAGCCAAGCAGGCTTTGGAGATGGGTGAATTCATAAGAAAAAAAAAAAAAAAAAAAAAGAAAATTGCATTTAAGCTACATGTATGAAGCACGGACCCCAAGAAGAGGACTGAATTATGAATTTGGCGCATCTTCATGGCTCTAGGAAAGGGATTGGATTATGCAGGCTGTTGTGACCTTTTATTTTTTTTTTTAAATCTTGTCTTCCTTTTTGATTATCTTCCCTGGAGAGGGAAAAGAAAAAAATGGTGATGGATTCTTCCTCCTAGACGAGCAGAAAACAAGAACATTTGAGAAGAGGGGCCCACCACATACAAACTATGCATCAACAGTAAACAGCGCCAAAAGTCAAGGAATCCCAGGGAAGTGAAAAAACTCCATCAGTCACTTTAATCATTTGGTTTGATTTTTTTCTCTGAATGTCACTTAACCTCAGGCTCTGCACTGAGTCTGCAGAACAGAACTTTCTCTGCCATGCACGCTGCCTGATCAGTATTACACTCTACCAATATTGGAGAAACCAACTGTGGTGGTTTTCTGAACACTAAAGTAATTATGTAAACTATGGAAAGAAGCAAAAAAGTCAGAATTGTTAAACTCTAATGTTTCATTGTTTACTGAATTTCGAGTCTCCCACCCCAGAATCACCCTATTTACGACATTCCAGACTGCCGCGCCTCTGTATAATACTCATCGTAAAGAGCTGGTATCTTACAAGAGCTGGGTGCATTCTCCTCCCTTACTATCCCACTCCCCTTCTGGGATTAGCTATTAACAGCAATATCCATTGCAGCGGACACAAGCACCTTGTAGAAGAAAGACTGTATTTCTTAAAGGTTTTTGAAAGTTTAAGAAAAACTCTCACTTTTTTAAGCATTTTTATTTTAAATTACAAAATGGATTTTTAGAAATGTCTCTTGTAAATTATATTAACAAGCTCCTTGCTGCTCCCTGAAGTAGACATGCTATATCCCAGCCCTGTTTTGTTTGTCTTGTTTTAAAGCATGCCATATAACCTATGCCATGTAAGCCATATGAGAGGTGATAATATGTGCCAAATTGGTATACAGTTGAGTTTAGATTTTGATAATCCCTGAATTCCAAAGATGATGTTTTTAGGGATTAGGACATTGTAGATTTTTCCCCTCTTCATTCTCCTTGGTTTTAGGACTTACCCAGAAGTTCAGGTGTAGTGCCAAGGTCAGCCCTGGTGCAAGAAGATGTGACCTGTGGCTCTGTTGAACTTACGGCTGCTTGCTTGCTCCCCAGGTACTTGTTTGATAAAGCAGGCTGTCAGCATGGCAGTGCTGTTAGAGAAGAAACAGCTCAGGGCAAAACCCTTGAATATAAATACAGCACCCCCCTTCTGGTATTTTTCAAACCAGTTTTGTGGTGTGCTTTTTGCAACTGAAGTCACTTTGCCAGGCCACAGATGTAGCAAAAGCAGGGAGAGTGCTAAGCCCTCTGCCCGTTCGTGTACACAGTTTGGTCCTGATTTGAAAAGTTGTGTGATGGTACGCGGCGCTCCAGCCACACTGACGGAGTCAAAGAAAGCTGCTGTAGCTTTGCCACCTCCTCGATTCATACACCAGTAATAAGAGATTGTGCAACTCCTGTAAATCAGCTGTGGGATACGTTAGTGGGACTGACAGACAGCCCAGAGCCATGCCCCTGATTCATTGCAGCTCAGTTTTCCTAGCACTCCACAGCCCCAGACGTTTGGTTTGAATCTGTGATGGTGGCTGAAGGCTTCTTTCAGCGTGCTAAACAGTCTCCCCTGGCTGTGCACTCCATGGTGAATGTTCATGAAAAGCATTTGATTACTCACTGAGGCAAGCAGTTATTTCATTGAAGTGGTGACAGGCGGAGAGGCCCATTAATATGTCTACCATATGAGATGGGGCTGGCCACACAGGAGATAAGGAAAAAGTTGGCTCTGCTGTAGGGCCTGGCTTCAGATTTTTGCTGAAGCCAAGTTTGTCCTTGCTTCTAGTCCCTTGGGTGCTGTGAGTGCAGCTATGCTCTGTTCTTCGTATTCGGTTGTGCTAGAGTTGCTTAGCGCTGAAGGGAAAATCTTATTCCTTGTCCTCTAGTGCTAACACAGCCTGAACAGGTATGGCAAGCAGTCAGGACACTGAGGCAGAACCTCTTCCCCACACTCTGAGAGCCAGAGAAGAACCAAAGTCTGCTGTTGTCCTTGCAGCTGTGCCTAGCACCAGCATTTTACGTGGAAATCACTCTGTCTTTGGAAATAAGTAGAGGAGGAAGAAAAGTGTAACAGAAGGTTATAATTGAGGGCTTGTTCTGCGTTACTCTTCCTACAGAAGTGTAGTTGTTGCTAACTTTATGGTGAAGTTCTTCACACCTAGAAGAGGAGGTGCTTTCTAATTCTCCAGATCTTATCCATAGAAGTTTAGTGCTCCCTCATTTAACTGCGTGTCTCTGCACTGTTCTTAAGCAGATTGTATTAGGATGACCCCAGAAAAGACTGCAGAACTCCCCTACACACACACACCACACTCCCTTTAGTCTGTGTCACTCCTCTCAGTTGGCCATAAGTCTCTGGCAACACTACAAGGTAAAGTGACTTCAGGGCAGTGAGGCCCTTCCATGCTGTGCAGCATAGCTATCGTCTGGGCACCGGTTCCCTACAAGAGCAGAAGCAGGACTAATGTTCGGGGAGAGAGACTCCCTGCTAGAGAGACAACTTGAGCATCCTTCAGAAGCTTTTCTGTAATGTGTTCACAGTGTCTGAGGAAGGGAAAGGAATTGTGAAGGGCCCTGATGGAGAACTGTGGGGCAGGTGTTTCCACAACGGTCAGCCCCACTGGCTGAATCTTTCCTCTTTTTTAGGAAAGCTCGCACTCTGAGCTGGGTTGCATGGAGAAGCTTGTGTCAGGAGTTTCTTTGAGGGGAAAGGAAATCAGTTGTACAGTTGATGATGTACATGATATATGCAGTTTTGTTTCTGGGTTGGTTGTTTTGTTGTTTTGTTTTTCTTTTTTGTTTGGGGGTTAAATGATTTTTTTTTTTTAAAAAAAAAAAAAAAAGGTTTTAGGAATCTCTAAGGGGAACCTGTAAATCTGACACCTCTATTTATTTTGCCTTATTTTAGTTTGCTATGTTTGTATGTATACACTGCATTGCAGCAAAGACTATTGAGACCGTGCCAGGGCATTACACCAGCGAGACAGCCAGCGTGGCTATTCAGCAGCAAGTTGAGCCAGGTGAGGGGCTGTGTGTGAGCAGCCTTGGTGTGGGAAGGGACGGAAGGGAAAAATTCCCTTTTGCTTTCATCATAATCACTCTGCCCCAGTGATACTCAACCTGGGAAAACGTGGCTTTTAAAGCATGTGGTGAACTGATGCAGGTGGGTTATTTTAGAACACTTCCTAAAGAAAAAAAAAATAAATTTCTTGTTATCAGTCATGGTTAGAAGATTAAGAAGAGCAAAACTGCACAGCTGCTAGCTCAAACTTCACCCTTCAACCCAAATACTGTCTTTAATGTCAGAGAAGCTTTGAGAGATGTGTGAAAGTGCTTCATGCCCTGTAACTTTTCACCAGAGTTAACATGTTGGTGGGACAAACTTGGACAGTTCTCCTTCCTCAGAGCTAAGATTCCTTCCCATCTTCAGGGCCAAGGAAGAAGGATTTTTGCTACTTTCCCTCTTTCCTCCTCCACTCCACCTCCTCAGATTATCCAGGTAAACAAAGTTTTTTGGCAGATTAGTTTTGTACCCATGAACTCTCTAGCCATCACTACATGTTTAGTGATGGCTCCTTGGGTTCTGTATTGGACTTGGGAGATTTCTGATTGCCTGCCATCCAAAGAGTTAGCCACCATTGGCCACCTTTACTTCTGTTATTAAAGGATGAAGAAACCAATCTACCACAATTTGGCTAACTAAAAATGTAGACTTTATATATATATATATTAAAGCTATCTGCTACTCTAAGGAGTAGTTTTGATGACCCGAATCTCCTAAAGCTGGCCAGATTATGCTTGCTGTGCCTGCTGAGAAGGGTGCCATCAGTTTAGAAAGGCGTTATGGCACCTAATTTCTAAAGAGGGTCCGGATGCTCAGTAGATCTTGCAATCCAGAGTCTTATGTTACTGGTGTTAATGTAGAATAGATCCAGTATACCCAGTACAAGTTGCTCTGTGTTTACACCAGCATAATTCATAGCAGCATCTGGATCAAAACTCCCCTTTAAACAGCTTTGGCTGTTCACAAGATGTTCCATGGAGCTTGTGAAGGGCTTTTGCAAAAGTCCTTTCAGCTGTCCACTGCTAGGAGCTCTCATGCAGCTTATCTAGAAAAGTCTCTATGGCATGTCATTCACAACCTACCCCTCCCTCCCCATCTTTACACTTCCCCGTAAAAAGGCTCTTTAGAAGCCTTCGCAGTTTTAGGTTGTAAAGGGATACCAGGTACCACACTCAACACTTCTCCCTTCCAAACCATCTCCATCTTCAGGCACCCTCCACCCCTGCAAGCCTGCTCAGCTTGAAACTTGTAGGTCGTTTTGGGAGGTGCCCCTGCCTGCTGAGCTTGGAAAGTACAGTGCTGCTTACTGAGTGGGAGGCTGCAAGCTGCTGTAATGCCTTGGCGTATCCTCATTTCTTAGTCAGTTTAAGACTATAAGTGAATTAAATGTACAAATCCTGTAGTGTCCTTTTTATCTGTATCTTTTTATAAGAATATACTGTAATACTAAAAAAAAAAAAAACCACAAAACCAAAAGAAAAAAAAAAAATTAAAGATATATTGCCCCCACTGTGTCTCAGTAATTTCTTTGTAGTTGCATTTTGTGTGCTTTTGCTGGAAAGTCTTAAAGGTAAGTTGAAGTCTGGGTATACTTTTTTTTTTGCTTGGCTCTATGTCTTTCTCTTTGGTCAAGAGCTTGTAGCTCTTCAAGTGACAAAGGCACTGCAGAGCTGGTGAGAAACTTCACAGGTTGTTCTGGCAGCAAGGTGGAACAACAGGCAACACTGGGGTTCATACACAAACAAACAACCAAAAAAAAAAGAAAAAAAGAAAAAGAAAAAAAGCCTGCTATCTAAGAGCTCATGCTATCTAAGAGCTCATAATCCTCATGTGGACATGCTAGTACACCAGCAGGAAAGGCTGCAGGGCTGGCCATAAACTCACTGCAAGAGTGTGATTGAGAGGAGATGATGGCTTCAAAGGCAGGAGTTAAATAAGAAAAGAAGCCGGGAGAGCCAACATCAGGCCTAAAGCCTTCAGAGATGCAGGAGGTGAGGGGGGAGAGGAGTTAGATGCAACAGCGGTGCAGGCAGGAGGCATATAAGAGCTAGGGCTAATCTGTGTGCACTTGACAAGCGGGTGAATGCCAAAGAATTCCTTGGAGCTCAAGGGCAGAACCTCATTTTCATCTTAGACACAGCTGGTTCATTTACACACAGATCCCCGTGTCTCTGATCACAGAAATAGCTTGCTGACAAAATTCATCCTTAAGCCACAACTTTTCATGTTTATCTTCAGCCCATCAAGGGGTGATGTTTTAACTGTGAGCTCCGGTGCGTCTGGTGCCTAGCTTTGATGGGGGGGGGGGGTCTTGCTTGCTGAGCAGCATACTCCTGCAGTGCATGGCTTCCAGGGACCTCAAACAAAGCTCCTGCTCTGAGTTCTGGCTCTCAGGTGGGAAGGGCCATGGCAATGAGCAAAAGCAAGGATAAGGGGATAATTGCTTGCACAAGCTGAGGGCCAATGGACAGCAGGTGGGGGCTCTGAGTGCTGCATGGGAAAGCTCTTGTTTTGTACTTGTTGAAAGGACTCTATCTGAGTCAGGCTTTGCTTTGAGTCTTCGCTACAAGGTTCTTGTTTTACAGATGCAAAGGTAGAGGCAAAGAAATGTTTCTGAAATCCATGCAGGATATGAGTGGCAGAGAGAAAATGAAAATGCAGAGACTTGCCTATCTCCTTTCCTTGAGTTGCAGTAAAGGAGGCCAGACCATTGCTTTTCCTCTTCTTGGAGGTCAAGCCCAGCAGCATTTGCATTCTACTTTGCGCAAACAGAGATGTATCCTACTGGAATTATAGGAAGAAGATTTTTCTTTCTTTAATATTTTGGCTGGTTTTGGAGCCCACAGCAAGGGGCTGCTGTTCTGCCCTACAGGATGGCTTTCCTACAGAAGTTTCCTTCAGTCTTCTCGTTTGACTTCTCCTTATGGCCATGGACCTGCCTGTCCTTGTCATCACTGTGCAGAAGCAAGGTAAGTGCCTCCTGGCTTTTTTTCTGAGCAAAGCTAGCATCAGGGTTTAGCTGCCATGAGTGAGTGGCAGTGAAGAGAAGTATAAGGGGAGCTCTTCTCCCTTGCTGGGAAAGTCTGAGGATCTATTATTCATTGGTTTCCCCTTTCTTTAACCTTTGGCTTGTCTTTAAACAAAGATGACTGTTATCTCTGCCGTAGCAGATAGGAATTTTTCTGCTGGAAATCTGTTTAGCCATTTGGGAACTGGTTTCTATTGATTGAAAACAAAATAATTGAAAAACTTTTGCCCCCCTGCTTCACTTCCTCCTAGAGCCCAGAAGGTTTTCAAGGTTGTTGTACTAGATTTTGTTTGTTTATTACACATTTCTGTGATGGCTTCTTTCTGTTGCCTCTGAGACATAGCTGCTGTTTATCTCTACTTTGCTCAGACTCTCACCAGGAGGGAAGGTCCTTTTGTCTGTCTTTCTTTTTCCCTGTCTTCTTCTTCTGACTTTTTTTTCTATACTTATGATTTTATTTATTTTATTTTATTTTTTGTACTGGGGCAGGGGAAGGGTCTGCTCATCTGTATGACCATCAGCCTGTCAGACTGAATTTTCATGTGAGATAGTAATGAAATAATGCATTAAGAAGGCAAAATGCCTTGCTCACATGTGCTCTGATGAGAGAATGAAGCAGAGGAGGAATAAAACAGGATAGGATGTCAGTTTGGCATACCTGGTTTTAATCTATTTGTTTCTTTTAGTCTGTATATTTCTGCAAGTAAAGATTCTTTCAAAGGGTTAACTTTTGCTTTTTTAAGGACAAATATTTGTCTGCTCCCCTCTTTCTTCCTATGCTTAATAAATGAGGAGGAGCCTTCTGGTTCAAAAGGGGGAAGAAAAAAACCACAAAGCCCAACCCTATCCAGCCATGATCAAAGCATGAAAAACTACATGAATATGGTGAGGTGTTCCAGCTCGCTTACTGCCTCTCCCTGGGGTCTCCCACTGCCTGTGGTCACTTGGGGCGAGGACAGGGGTACCAGGCACCCCTGGCCTGCCTAGGGGAGCAGCTCCATGCCCACTCTCAGCGCTTTGGGCCAGGGCAGCTGTATGTCTCTGCAGGGCCTATTCCTTGAGATACTTGGATAGTTACTAGTATCTATACTAGTGGCTGTAGACTCTTGTTTGCTTGTTGTAGTGGGTTTACATGGCAAGGTTTTGGTAGCAGGGGGCCTTAGGGGTGGTTTCTGTGTGAAAGATCTAGAAGCTGCCCCATGTTTGGGAAGGGCCCCATTGTTTTCCAGATCTGAGCCAATAAGCGATGTTGTTTTGCGCCTCTGTGAGAGCATATTTAAGACAGGGAAAAAACGCTGCGCCACACAGCAGCCGGGAGAGTCAAGGGAGTGAGAAACAGCCTTGCAGGTGCCAAGGTCAGTGTAGAAGGAGGGGGAGAGGTGCTCCAGGCGCCGGAGCAGAAGTCCCCTGTGGCCTGTGGTGAGGACCATGGTGAAGCAGGATGTCCCCCTGCAGTCCATGGAGTACCACGGTGGAGCAGAGTTCCATGCTGCAGCCCGTGGAGGAGACCACGCAGGAGCAGGTGGCCCTGCACCGATGGAGGCTGCCGCCTGTGGAAGACCCCTGCCGGAGCAGATTCTAGGCCGGACCTGTAGCCCGTGGAGAGGAGACCACGCAGGAGCAGGTGACCTGGCAGGAGCTGCTGCCCGTAGGGGAGCCAGGTGGGAGCAGTTTTCTCCTGAGGGATGGACCCCGTGGTACGGACCCATATCTGGAGCAGTTCTGGAAGAGCTGCTGCCTGTGGGAAGCCCACGCCGGATCAGTTCGTCAAGGACTGCATCCCGTGGGTGGGACCCCACAGCACAGGGGACAAGAGTGACCAAGAAGGAGCGGCAGAGAAGAAGTGCTGTAGACTGACCATAACCCCCATTCCCCCGTTCCCCTGCGCCGCTCGGGGGGAGGAGGTGGAAGAGGGTGGATGGGGGGGGAGGTGCTTTTGGTTACTTTCCTTTGTTTCTCACTTCTCCAGCTTGTTAGTAATGAGCAATAAATCTTACTATCTGTCTTCTTATGCTGAGTCTGTTTTGCCCGTTACACTAATTATTGCGTGATTTTCTCGTCCTTATCTCAATCCTTGAGCCCCTTTCACATATTTTCTCCCCATTCCTCTTTGAGGAGGGGGAGTGAGAGAGCGGCTGTGGTGGTGCTCGGCTGCCCACTCGAGCGGAACCACGACACTTGTTTATTTTCTGTTTTTAATGGTAAAATTTAAACTGAGCACTTCATTGTGCTGCTGCCACTGTCCCTCCAAGCCAGTCTTTCTTCTCACTTGGTCTTGGAGAACCTTTGTATGAGTTGGAGGGGCTGAGGCAGGCCCTGAAGGCTGTTAATGCAAATCCAAGCAGAGGTCCTGCAGCTGCTGGGCTGTACCTGCAGGCCTGCTCTTATTGGGGTACCCGCGGCATCTGGGCTGAAGGTCTGCCTCTGGACTATAAAGCTGGGGTTACTTGAGGCAGAGCATGTCGGTGTGACTGTGCCACCTGGGCCTGCCTATCTGCCTGTGAAGTGGAGGCAGAAATCCCTGACAGAGCACTGTGGAGTGTTGCCTCTGGCACCCGAGCTTGTGGCTTCAGGGATGGCTCACGTACTTGCTGAGTGGTGGAGATGGGGGTGAGAGAAACCTTCCCTGTCTCCTCACTCCTTCTGCTGAAAGGATGGGTAGTTTTGGTCCTGACTCTCTTCCCCTCTGCACCAGCTACTGCCTTAGGTTATGGCAACCACAGGCCCAAAGAGGGTTTGTGGTGCGCTGGGGGCTTTCCTTTGGGGAGGGCTGCTGCATTTTCCTACCACAACAACATCAAATCCTTGGGGTCACCGCTCAAATGCCGGGCTTAAGTTAATGTGGGAGCCCAGGGAATGCTCTTTGCCCACTTTATTTTAGATGTGCAGTACTGTAGTGTTGAGGCAAGTCTTTGCAGTGCTCATAAAAGCAGAATGTGTCTGTAGTTACATTAGCTAGAAAAATAACAACCAGAAAATGGAGGAGGAAAAATTATGAAGAGGACGTCATAACTTACTGAACTGTGCAAGATGTGGAAGAAGGCTTTTGTCTGGCTGAAATCTATCAGTGGTATCTATAGTGTGGTGTCTAATGTGTTATATATAGCAAGGCCTTTGCCAGTTGTCCGCCATCATGGTGGTAAAGTGGAAGCAGTTTTGAGGGGTTACTGTGGTACCTCAGGATTTTAACTGGACAAGACTTTCCTCAGGTAACATGGGCTCTGTCTTCCCAGGCAAGTCTGGATCTGCTCTTATTTCAGTTAACACCCAAAGGTAGTTTTTTTTTTTTTTTTGGCAGCGTTTTCTTTCCTGCTGGGCTCCCAAACAGGGTAACAACTGTTCAGTGCCATGCCTTGTTCTGCTGTAAGCAACCTCTGCTCCTGATGCTCCTCAACACTGGAGCCCTCTTCACCTCCCTTTTGTCTTCTTTGTCACTATGGCCCTTTGCTACTTGCCTCAGGAGGATTTGCTGCCCTTTCTC